TTTGCCTGACACCCAGAGCAGCACCTGCTGGCAGCTGGAAGTGACGTTGTCGTAAACCTTCTACCCCCTGATCAGACAGTGCACACACTGGAGGCTTGTTAACTCCTGTTCTTTAAACTGATGATAAATGTTCTCTGTTTTTGTTTTTCACAACAGGAATGTTTTATATAAAAATGTGATTTTTCATGTTTTTAATTTGATTTTTTTGTGTTTTGATTCCATCAAGAATATCTCAGACATATATCACGATAAGAAACCTATAGCAATAGAAAAGTGATAGCGAGTTGCTTTCTTATGCTTTCTTATTGAAGCTACAAAGATTTTCTTATCTTTTATTTGTCCTGTTTACAATATCTAATCCCTAAAATAAACATGGAAATATGATTCACTCTTAAGTGCTCGCATATGACAGGAACCTTCTAACTTGGAAACCAAGAGTCAGGAAATTCTCTAGTGCTCTCTATAATGATTTCTGAGTTGATTAGTAATGCCTGTTATCAGCATTAAGGAATTGAATCATTGTCCTGACTTTTAAGGAATCTTTTTGTGTAGCTATCAAATGTGAAAATCTTAATTCTTTAATGAAATACATGTGAGAAATGTGTGTCACTTACATCTCAAGAATTTTCAAAATAAAATGTAATGGTTTCTCCTGAGACCCCATCATTTAGATAGGTCCACTAAAGATAGCCTTCAGGATTACTGAGATAATAAGCTTTTCAGAACTAAGTAGAAAACTCAGGATAACTGAGGCTCACGGAACGTTTCTTTTAATTTGCATTAGCAAACAAAAATTCAGTGTACGGGATTCAGCTTTAAAGCTCTCTCAGATTAAGTGTTCTTGGTATAACCTGATCACTCTCAGCATTCATACAGATCTTTATACAGGAAATTTCTTCTACATGACAAAAAACAGTAGCTGAAATAACTGAGTCTCCTCAGAATTTATTCTAAGAATATTGCTTAAGAACAAAAATAATATAAAGCTAATGCTTTCTATGTGCCAGATATTGCATTAGTGCCTCTGGAATAAGTCATTTTACTTATGTTTTAGAAAAGTCTTCAACTATGTATTTATGACATGAAACCAGTATGAAAATGTGAAAAAGTGATGGGACCTGTGTGTGCCAGTTCTTACAACATGTCTCACATTTTATCAGCCTTTTTTTTTCTTGGGATAATGGCTTATGTTTGATATTTGGTATTTTTCATGCATATTGCTCCCATCATGTAACTGGGCATTAAATTTCTCTTATCCTATGATTCTGTCAAATCCTTTCCCACACTATATAGCTAATCTAAGATAAAGTAATATGACAGAAGTCATCAGTAATTTGTGAGGACATATCCTTGAGTTTTCTCACTTTGTACTCACTTCTGTGTTGCATTTAAAAGGGCTTTTAGCTAAACCAAACAATAAATGATTATGAAAAATTTAGGCTCCATAATAAGTTTGAGACAAAAATATTGGTCTGAACTTGCTAATCTCAAAGTATATCATCTGCACAAATATCTTGCTATTTCAGGGGACATTTATATCCTAAAAGCATTCACACTGTGCAGCACTCAGCTTAAATCTTCTGAGAGTCTAATCCATGATACGGTAACTGCAGTGTTTGAATGTTTTTTTTTTTTTTTTTTTTTTTTTTTTTCCTTTTTATCGGTACCAGGGATCAAATTCACGACTGCCTGCTTGCAAGGCAGGCATTTATGCCGCTGAGCTAAATCTCCAGCCCCTTGAATGTTCTTATTTGTGGAGAACATCACTCTTCCTCTACCATTCTTTTGTGAAGTGATCCTTCCCAAACTTGACTCCCTGGTCTCAGTTGGGGCACATGGATTTACCTGATTCTGCCTCCTTAATCAAGCAGATTGTGATCCTTGGTCTTTTTATCCTGATTCAACTTGAACCCTGCCTTAAGATGGTGAAATTTTGGTCCATTCCAAGTTAATTTTTTTTGGAGACCTGGGAAAAAGGGTTTTGCTGGCTATGAGTTACTGTATCAGTTGAGTAGCAAACTTGTGCTTGAAAAGTATTCATCCAATCCAATAAGAGAATCTGGAATGAGAGATTCTGGCAGCTTTCAAGTGCTTGAGACTATCCACGCTCTTGCTGTGGCACAGAAAGGAGCAGCAGAAGGCAAACGTGGTAGTGTGACAGGGTACAGTTTTATGCATGCTTTCTTAAGTCCCTCCTGAGTCAAGGGGCGGGGGGGGGGGGGAGAAAGACTGCAGGCAGGAGCTGAAGGGATATTTTCTTTTACCAGGAGACCTCTGAGACCTTAATGTTTGTTCTCTATCTAGAGAAGGGATCTCCTGAAAAACACACAGCTTCCATGTAGCAGCATTTGGTCAAGACAGAGTAAGATCACGTGTAGTTTGTTCAGAGAATGTTCACGGTAGGTGTGGACAGCAAGATAAATCTTTAGATGGGTACATACAAAAAAATGTCATTGTTATAGGAGGATTGTGAGACACCTGTTAGGAAATTCAGAAAGAAGTTTCATGAAGTTTTGGAATGGGGAGTGATGGGGGATGTAAGAGCTGCTTTAGTGAATACGAGTATCATACAGGACAGGTTATTGGATTAATGCCACACATTTGTTTCCACTGGGAGTTGCTAAAACACAGACAACACTAGTCTAATTGTACTTTATAATTTAAAAATTTTCATGAAATTATATATGATGAAACATGCTTTAAAAAGATCGAAGTGTATGGAAAATTCCTATATATTCTCCTTGCCTTATCTTGCTTCTCAGAAATAATACCAACATTTTAACATTATATTGCTAAATATTTGTCAGCAGCACTGATGATGGTACCCAGGACAAGTACTCTACCACTGAACTATACCCTCAGACTTTTGTTTTATATTTTTAAATACTATGTTTATGTGACTGCTTACTGATTTGCCCACATTGGGCCCTAATTATTGCTGTTTTTGCTAAGTAATTTCTATGTTATTTCTTCTTCCATCATTATGAGAGTGTATCTTCATGCCGTATTTTTTTTTTACAAAAAGATACAAAAATTTCTTTAAATTTCTATTCTTCATCTTCCCTTCTGATTCAGGTCTTGGTGTACATTTACTGTTATTTCCAAATGGGAAAGAACACGAGAGAGACAGAGAGTTCTAAAAGGATGGAATCAATAGGAAGTGACAGGTAATGATTTGTGTTAATAATACAAGTTAGCAAGTTTGCCACTGGTTGAAGAATTTTGTTGTGGGGAAAATGAAAATATTTGTTAGTTTTTAAAAATGTGTTTATAAATTACCAACTACAATTAGCATATGTTTAGTAAATGTCTTTGAGTTTACATTTTATCTCTTTCATCTTATATCAAATATTTTACTTGCAGTAACATTACTGTGCACAAGTAAAATTTATTCACATTTTCCTATAAAGTACATGAATTAGTTTCATAATGCTCACATTACTGAAGAATTCTTATTTTTTATAGTTTTATGTATTCTAAAAATGTATTCTGAGAAGTGATTCAGTTATAATATTTTATATTATATAAAATTATTTGAAATAACTTTCTTCTCAATTATCAATTAGATACACAGTTAGCATATCCATTTACTTCATTTTTTCATAAATTATTTATTTGTACTTTGCATTTTTTGTCTCTACCTTTATGTAACATTCTTTTTTTTTTCTTTATGCATCTAGGTTTCTTTTTGCTTATGTGTTTTAACATTTTTATGTGTTTAATATTTTATCCACCTCTCACATAAATAGTGGGTATATATTATACAATGTTATGTAGCTAGTTTTTTGTTTTTTGTTTTTTGTTTTTTTTTTTTTTTTTTTTTTTTTTGCTTTGTTTTCCTTACAAAACATTCAAAAGTTCACATCATTCTGTTAGGTAATGATTTTTTTCTCTTTTTATGCATCCTGGTATTTCATTATGAGGAATGATGTTATTTATTCATTGAATGCCTTAGTGATTGTCATTTGAGCTATTTCCATGTGAAGTGTGTGACTAAACAAAAATGTAGTGACTGTTTTAAGTTTGAAAATTTATGATAGTAAAAGATGCACTGCTATTAATCCTCAAAGTACTTCCCTCTTTCTTTGAACAAACTTACCCTAACATGCTTTGTTACTTTCTGCAACAGGCTGTCTCTGTCTCCTGAACTAGTTTGAAGTATTTATCTTTCATGGTCATTTTTGATTTGAGAAAAATGGTAAAATTCATTTGGTGAATAAGATTGATGAGGATGCACCATATTGCCTTTCTGTTGAATTGCACTCAATAGCAGCATCACCACAGTTTTGATCATAGTTTGCAAAAGAAGTTACAAAAAAGGACTTTCAGAACTGCTTCAGAAAGTGGCAAGAATGATGGGATAAGTGTTTATAAAGTGAGGACAGTGTCTTCCAGGGAAATTAATAGCAATGCGGTTTTCACGTGATAAATATTTTTATCTAAACATTCACTGTATTTTTAATTACTCCTTTTATATTCTTATTTCATGATTTTACAAACAATTAACTTCTCTGTTATTGTTGCTTTTTTGGTAGATCTTTGGAATAGATTCCTAGAAGTGAGATTTCTGAGTCTAAGAGCAAATGTTTACGTTATTTTGTTAAATGTTGACAGATTTCCTTTATTGGAAGCCATTTTTGCATTTCTACTGTCATACACAAGCGTGCTAGGTTTTCCCTCCATCTAGGCTCATGTACCTATTTAGTGAGAGTTCTTTAGAAAATTTGCACCTGAAATTCACCTTTCTTTGTTTTCTAATGTTTTCCTTGTTAGTTTTTTACTTTTTCAATGAAGACTTGCAAGGACAAGCCAGTTACTTCGGTGGAATATGGTTGCCATCTTGTTTCTGACACAAGGTGCTTGATACGACCTTCTGACAGCATTGAGTCAAATTAAATAGAAGACATATAGTGGGTTTATTTCCAAGGAAGACTTTGCATACCTATGCAAGTGCAATATGAGACCAGTAAACACTTAGACATGACACTGTCTCTGTTGACTGACTTTATGTGTAACCATTTGGCATATTTTATTTACATCAGAGGTACTCTTCAGAAAATACAAGATTGCAGTGAAAAGATTGGAAATAAACTTTAAAGCCAATACTGAAGAACAGAACTCTAAGCCAGTCTTCTTTCTTTTTCAGTTGGTCACCAGTGAGATTTCCGCCTCCTGTGGAGTTTCCACCGTGAAGGAAAACAAGGAAGCACAGTCTGCTGTGCATTTCCTTTCCTCAAAGAATGGAAATGAGATGGAACACAGCAGTGGAAACACCGGGATTGCTTCTGTGCCTTTTGTCTTACTATGATTTCTTTCATACTTTACTTGTCCTTCCTTAATATATGTGTGTGTGTGTATATATATATATTTTTTTCTTTTTTAAATTTTCATTTTCTTTGAAGTTTTAGCTTTTCTTGCCTCACTTGTATAATGCAAAATAATTATTAATGCAAGCTTTCAATTGTAGACATATGATTAAAAACTAACAAAAAATTTAAAAATCCCAATGTCAATAAAACAAGTATAAAGCAAAATTCTCAGAGTGGGGAGAAAAATAGGAGAAGGGGAAGTAAGAAGAATTAAGGTGCATTGTGTACATATATCAACTGCCTATAATGAATATAAAGTACTATAAATGTGTACTAACAAATTTTCAAAATATATAAACATTTTGAAAATATTTATGAATTTTTGGCTTAGTTTTTCATTTTTCTCATTTGTAGGAGTTTTGAGTTGCAAAGGAGTCAGAGTGTCAGCCTGATTAGTCTTAAAGAAGGACTAAAACAAAGAGTTTCCAATTTCTTAACTCAGTGCTTTTAACTGTGAGATAGTCACACATTTATTAATTCTCGTTGCTGTGGCTGTTATGGTTAGCAAGAAGAAACGACAAACAAAAACAGACCAGATGATTATTTTACTTTAGTGTAGTGTGGAATGTTTGAGACCAAGAATTACATCTGATATAGTTTGGGTGACCCTGATCCTGACCACCCATTAATGTATTGTGAGCAGGATTGTGAACTTCCTCACAGACAGCTTTATATAACGAGGAAAGTGACAGTGGGGATTCAGTTTAGTCCACACATAAAGACTTATTCTTATCCTGAAGGTTACTTGTGACTTCAGCAAAGTGTTTGATGGGTATGTGTCTGTTGGCTTCAGATTATGACCTTATGTTCTATCCATGAATACACAGCATCATTTTCTTCAAGTTTTACATGATACTGGAGAAAAATGCTGTTCTTTGGTATTATTTTACTGAAATATTACATCAGCAAAAAAATGAAATGCTAGCATTTTTCTATAAGGTGAAATTCTGGCAGTTCTTAGCATACGACAGGAATGGTGGAACCCAGAAGCAGTAGAACTTGGCAGCTGTGTTGATGTTACCCAGTGAGACTGCTCTGGCAGCAGGAAAGAGCAGTGGCCACTGGGCATGCCTATATATAACCAAAATAAGAGAGCCGTTGAGTGGGAATCCTTAGAGTTCCAAAGAATAGAGAGGCAGAGTGGTTGGTGCACCATAAAGGTGGGCTGGTTTTATGGATCTTCCTGGATCTTTGAGAAGTATGTTAGGTTAGAGAGGGAACACTGAATATCTACTTTATCTAATGGGGAAGGCTTCCACGGAAGTAATTTCAGATTTGGTATATATCTCTCCTGATTTTTTGGTAGCAAACATCATAAGTAAGGTACATAAAAGGCCTTTCTCCTATTCTTACAAAATCACTGAAAAAATGCAAAGGTGGTTATTGCTATCTAAACAATGGAACCAAAATCCTCACTGAAAATTAATGAAAGTTAGAATACAAATATACTTTTTGTACTTTCACCTTAGCTTTTGTTTTTTTGTATTTTCCAAGCAACAGGAGAAAGCCACAATAACAATATTACTCTGCATACCATTTAATTCTCATCAGTCTCTATCCTATATAAAATAAAATCATTTAAACTTATTGTTTCTATTTATACACTGATTCATGTGAAACTAAGGTTTAAGTAAAGGATTTAATGAAGGAGGAAATCAGTAAAGTAGTGAAGGCGACGGTGAAGTGATGACATACATCTTTATATTAAAAATAAAAACATTGAATATGACACAATGATACATTGTCAATATTAGCCAGTAAGCTATCTCATTGAACACTGTGTTAAAAATCACTTAAATCACAGTATTTTAAAAGAACAAACACTTCTTAGCTTACCATTTCTTTGTGTCAGTGTTACATAGTTTAGATTTTGAATATCTCCCGTGTGTGTTGAAGGCGTGGTCTCCAGCCCATAGTCCTATTAAAAATAGCGGACTTCTTTTAGGAAGTAGTGTCTCGGGAGAGGAAATTAGGCCATCGAGGCCAGTCCTCAAAAGAGCTACTGGGATTTAGGTCCTTCCATGAAGGACCATGCTACCATGCTACTATGAAATGAGCAGCTTCTTCTACCACGAGCTTTTCTCTATGATGAACCATCACCCCAGAGACCCAAATGTGACCAACAAACCATGGGTTTAAACTCTGAAAAATATGAGTCAAAATAAAACTTTTCTCTTTACAAGATGATTGTCTTAAGTGTTTTATCATAGTGTTGGAAACCTGACTAACATGCTCAGAAATCTGGTGTGGCTTGACTGAGCTCTTTATGATTTAGGATTTCTCATTAGATTTTACTATAATAAAGGTTTTGGTTCAGGTTTCAGTTATCTCAAGATTTTAGGGAGGATCAAGGGCAGTGATAGAACCCAGATGCAGTAGAACTTGGAAGTTGCAAGCTCACTCATAAAGCTGTTGACAGCCCCCAGCCCTACCCAGCACCTTGCCTTCTCCATTAGACTGCTTGCTTCATACAGCGACAGTTAATTGTCCCTACAGAAAGTGCTCCTGGAGTACTGTAAGCAAAAGAGAGCAACCAAGACAAAAGATCTTGTCTTAACCTCTCCCTGTGAGAGACCTTATGCTGCATCTATCTGATAGAATTAAACCAGTTGGTCCCACCAACACTTAAAGAGAAGAGATTACACAGGAGCAGAAATGTGCGGAGGTTAGGATGATAGGAGACCATTTCAGAACTTGTCAACCATAACCTCTACACAAAGGTTAAAAATTATGAATTATTAGGCACTTTGAGATTTGAGGGGCTTAATTATTATTATTACTTTCTTTTGGTGCTGGAGATTGCACTCCAGACCCTGCACTTAATTATTATCTTAATTATTTCCTTAATTATTATCTTCCTTGATATTCTTTCTCTGTCATGTTTAAATCATCTGGATATTGAATTCTGTGGTTTTTTTTTTTTATTTCTTCCTATCTTCCTATCTTCCTATCTTTATTTCTTCCTATCTTTTTATTTCTTCCTATCTGGGAAGTTAATGTTATAAAAGCAGGTCAAATAGCAAATTCTTCAGCTCATCATTCACATTCTATCTGGTGTGATTTTTTAAGCAAATACTGTGCTGGCCTCTTTGTTTTAATACCCTTTATTTGTTCTTCCTCTTTAGAAGAGCAGGCCAAATCTTTTAGTATGGCATACACAGTACTTTCTCATATGGTTTTGCCATGGCCTGGCTCCTCAATTTATAGACACAGCCAACTCCCTGGGGGCTCTGCGGCTTCAGTCACAATTCACCTTCTCTTTTGTTTCCTTGAACCGTCTTTCTCAGTATTGAATGTTTGCAAGTAGTATTTTCTGTACCTGAAACCTTTTCTCTTTTCCTTAGCCCTGTATCCTCATCTTTTTCAGCAGCTACATTTTACATGTGTAAGAGGAAGATTTTTCAATAGAGCAGAACTTGCCTCAATTTCAACACAACCAAATCTAACAAGTTAAGCCCATAAAAGTCCATGAACTTTGAATTACCTCAAATCTTAATTGAACCTAGCTTGAGACTCTTTATGAAACAATAAACTAGATTTGTTTTACTCAATTTTGTTCAGACCCATTCAGTTGAATAGGGAGCTAGTTTTTAATCCTTAGCACATTACCAAGACTATCCCTCTCTAGAACTGAAAAATCTGTAACTTTTTCTTGTGTTTGAGTGATTTACTGGATTTTTTCACTAGTAAATGCTTTTTTTGCTTCACAAGTTAGTTAATACTAAGAATTAACTTTTTATTTTTAAAGTTCTGTCTTTACTTGTAATTATAACTGTGATTGATAGCTTTTGCTACTAAACTTCAAATTCTCAGATAATAATAATTATGTGTATGTGTTGTATGGTATATTCCTCAGCATTTAACAAAATTCAAGGAAATAAATGGGCTCCCCACATGTCTATGAGTGAACTAGTAAACAACTGTTGGTTTTATGTCCTGATGTTCAAAACCAAGAAAGTGTTGACTTATATTGTAGACTTTATTTTTAGTGTTTTACGTCTTAGATTTTCAAGCAATAGTTCACCTTTCTTTACTTAATAAAGATTAATTGATTTTAATTGCTAGGTTCTTTTGAGTTTACCAGTTGTAAAATTCATTTAATGATTTGGGGAAAGGTGAGCTACCCATGTCTCCCTTCTGGCTTTACAGATAATGTGCTTGCCCAGTTGTAGAGCACTGTTGATGGGTACAGAAATATTTTGCTGATAAGCACAAATGATCATGTTACACCCTGAAGCCTGAGATCTGATTACCCTTATTACAGTGGCTTAAAAATTTACAAATGTCATTAGTAGTCATTAAATTACTACATTTGGCTTTGTAATAGGACTACCAAAGTTTGACTCTGAGACTTCACTCAGGGCTCCAAATTTGCATATGAGACTGAATATTCTTTGACAGATTTGATGTGTTTTGCTCTAAAAATAACTCTCAGTAATGAAGGCAGAACCTAAACCTAAGATTTCCAATGGAAATTTATAAAAATCCAGTCTTGAAACTGTGTGTAGATTGTCATCTCTACCCATCCACTACTCTCTTCTATTTTGCTCTGTTCAAGCAATTTAATTCTGTGTCTAATTTTAATCTGTAACCCATATCCCTCGTCCCTTGCACAGCATGTGTTAGCACTTAACTAGCAGGAGGGGGTTGCCTAAGGTAAAAGGATTGATAGCATAGGCCAGGCGTCTTAAAAATGGCTTTGTGTTATTTGGCGCCATTAGCTAAAGCTTTATATTCACAGGTCCAAGCTGTCTGTGCAGAGTTTAGAGAGATGAAGGCCATGAATACAGTGGAATCTTTTAGTTCTATTACTCGGTGTTGAGGTTTTGGAAAATTTCCATGGCAAAGGACTGGTTAAAAAGCTGAATGTATTCACAATGTGTTTTCTGCGAGGATGCAAAAAGAATCTGTGACTTTGTCTAAATTTACAAAGAAGCCAAACATTCACAGGAAGATAATTTCTTTAAATAATGGTGCTGGAAAAACAGGCTTTCCACATGGTGAAGACTAAAACTAGACACATGTCTATCACGATGCACTATACTAAAGTCAAGATTAATCAAAGATTTGAGTACTAAAATAGAAAAACTAGAATTACTGGATGAGAGAATAGATACTAACCCCAAAGACCTAGGCTTAGGCAGAAATTTCATGAACAAAACCCAGACTGACAGGGACATTACAAAGAATCAACAAGTGGGATCTCATCTTATTAAAAAGCTTTTGCACAACAAAAGAAATCACCAACAGAGTGAAAAGAAAACCTACAGAGTGGGAAAAAATTTTAGTCAACTATCTCTCAGACAAAGGGCTTCTATCTAGAACATATAAAAAAGATTTTAAAAATCAGACTCCTCCAAATTCAAAGATTCGATCTAAAAATGGGCATCTGAAATGAATACACATTTCTCAGATGAAGAAATACAAATGACAAATAAATATAGGAAAAGCTATTCAACATTACTGGTTATTTGAGAAATGCATATTAAAATGACACTGAGATTCTACCTTATCCAAGATAGAATGGTTACCATTAAGAAATCACCCAGTAACAAATGGTGGAGGGGTGTAGGAAAAAGAACCCTTCTCCACTGTTGTTAGGAGTGTAGACTGGTATAACCACTGTGGAAATCAGTGTGGAGATTCCTTAAAAACTAGAATTGAACCAGGCTAACACCTTTCTGAGTGTCTTCCCAGAAGAATTAAAAACATCATACCACAGTAATATCTGTACCCCCATTTTTATAGCAGCACAATTTGTAATAGCTAAATCTTGGAAACAACTCAAATGCCCAGCCACTGAGGAACATATAAAAGAGATGTGATTTTTTTATATAACAGAGTTTTACTCAGCTATAAAGAAGGATAAACTGGAGACATTTACAGCCAAATGAATGCAATTGAGACCATACTCGTAAGTGAAACAAATCAGACCCACATGTGTGTTTTTTTTTGTCTTTTTTTTTTGTCTTTTTCGTTTTTATCGGTACCAGGGGTCGAACTCACGACTGCCTGCTTGCAAGGCAGGCGCTTATGCCACTGAGTTAAATCCCCAGCCCCAAGACCCATATGTGTAAATGTATTGTCTCACTAGTGTGAGAAGCTGAAAGAAAGAATAAATAAGATCCAGAATGTGCAATAGATATTGTGAAATATAAAGGAACTGTGCAAAAAAAAAAAAAAAAAAAGGACAAATTGTGATAAGAAAAGGGGAAAGGAAAAAAGGGAGAAAGAAAAAAATATTTTTACACAAGATAGTTAAGAGAGTACAGCTAGATTCTTTTAGTTCACTGAAAAGAAAGGTTTGTGCTAATATTGTTTGAACAAAATATGATGGCCTGTGTTTTGTACTCTGGATAACTACTGAAGATAACAATATGCAATGTATCAATTATTGTAACTCTCCTACTAATTTTTTTAAAATTAGGAACACAGTCTCTTACTACCATAGTCATGCAGTTGAGTTTCCAATGTTGAGGAATTGCAGGGGCCAGACAGTAATTTCCACTTATCTGCAGTGCAACTGATAAGCTTCACCCTGGGGAAACCACCTTCATGATCAAATGTACTAACCATGATTAAACGTACTAACCTGCTACGAAACTCTGTTTTTTGCTACTTTTGTTTTTTCTGTTTAAAAATTTTAAAAAAGGTGAATGTTTGTCCTGGAAAATTTAATTAAGATCCATTTAAATTGTAATAGATTATGATGGTGCTGAGGAAAATAAAAGAAATAATTTGGAAAAACAATTTTTTCTAGCATTTTGAAAATTGTTTTTGCTATCTCATCTACTAGTTATAACTTACCCTCCTTAAAATGTAAGAAAGCCTGTTGATACCTAGAAGTCGTTCTTACCTAAAGTAAAGAGGAAGTTAGATTTTAAAGCCGGTACTTAGGACAAAATTCACATGAAACTATAATAACTTTTGAAAAATCTTTCACAAACCCATAAATTTAAAAGTGTTTAAAAAAAACCTGTTCAAAATGAAAATTAAAACATTTCACAAATTTTTTCCTGAATTTTATTACTTGTGTCACTTTTTCAGGTTTAACTGTAGACTACCTAAAATTTAATGTGCACAATTCAACCTGTCAGTAGTGACAGTCTTAGAAAGAAAAAATAAGTAGTATCCAGTGCAGATAGTATATCTAAACGTGTTCCTCGGCTTAGGACAATTGTTTTACCTGTTTTATATATTCTTTGCCTTTTAGTCTGGTTTTCAATCTGTGCATATGACAATTTTATAAAGTCTTATAAATAAATTAATCTGATGCCAGGAAAATTAAAGAGGTGGAGGGAATGGGGATAAAAATAAATTGAAATGTGTTATATACACGTACCAGTTCCCTACAGTGAAGACAATCACTGTATACAGTAAGCATGAACTAACAAAAAAAGTCAAACAAAACTGAAGTTGTAGAATTATCATTAAATTATTAATTCAATGGAATAATAAATGTATCTACCTTCTAGAAAATCAAGGGCAATATTTAAGACAAATAAGTAGTAAAAAATTTAATCTTTCCTTATGCTGCAATTTCAAGCTATGTTCATGAAAAGTATATTATTAAAACAAATTTTCATGAATGAGCTGCACAATTAAGAAAACTGAGATTTAAGAAAGTCAATTTCCTCAATTCTGTTCTTTTACAATGGTGAGATTTAAGCTTCAGTCTGAGTTCTGGAAACATTTTATTTTAAATGTAACAAGTTCCTTCATTTAAACACCTTTGAATTTCTATTAGCTACTATTATATGTCATAACTCAATATACCACAACCATTTTGGATGTGTAATTTACTTCCATTACTACATTTGTAAAAATCATGCTGCTTTGATATCTTTATGCATTCATATATAATGAAAAATAAACATGCTCCCTAATTTCAAATGTCCTTATAAAGCTATTAAAACAATAGAAAGCACTCTGCCATTATAAATATACACCTCATGCAAAAGAAAAAAATTTAAAAAGTTTAGAAATCTACCAAGTATTTATGGTCAATTGATTTTCAGAAAACGCAATAAGAACACATGTGGGGAAAGATAAGTCTCTTCCATACATGGTGCTAAGAAAACTGATATTCACATAAAATAAAATCAGATCTTTATCTCATAACATACATAAAAAATCAACTCAAAATAGATTTAAAAATTACACTTGAAATTGTGAAACTATTAAAAAACACAAGGAAAACTATATAATACTGGTGTTATGGATAGTGTCTGGATGTCCCCATAAAGCCTTATGCAGTCATAGGTGAAGCCTTTGCAGAGGTGGCTGGATCTAGCTTGTGTGATGCTGGAATTGATTCATGGTGCAATGCTAGGATCAAGGGCATGAGTGCTACCTGCCCTATATAGCCTGGAAACTGGAAAGGAAGAGCTGTGGCTATCCCTTGTTTTCTGCCTTCTCTCTGCTATGAAATGTTTCTCCTCTGCAATACCTGTCTGCTGTGCCACCTCACCTTAGACTAAAACCGCTACAAACTGTAAATAAGTAAAATTTTCTTCTCTCGATTTATGAGTGTTAGGTATTTGGTCTCAACAACTAGAAAAGTAAAAGTAAGACAGAATTTGGTTCTAAGAGTGGAGTTGTTGCTGTGGCTATACAGAAGCCTTCAGGGCTGGCCTGTGGGAAAAATTTGGACATGTCACCAGAAATATCTGCAACCTTGAAGTGAGACTGTGGTTGGTACTCAAAGATGAGAAGGCTGATAGAAATGCTGCCGGTGAAGGCAAGGCTTGGGAGGTTTCTGCCGGGAAGAAGGACTACATTGAGTATTGGACTCCAGATGATATCTTTTATGGACTGGCAAAAAGTTTGTCTGCATTTTGCTTGTGTCCAGTGACTTTTCCTGCCACTGAGAATAAGGGTGTCAGGCGAATTAATCTTGCAGGAGAAATTTCAAGGCAGCAAAACTGAGGCAGTGGCATGGCTCTAGTCGAGGGCATTTGGCCAACTTTATGTTGTGAATCAAGAACAATAGCCCAGAAGGATGATTTAAAACATTTTGAATTTGTCCAGAAAGGAAGCTCCAGTAAAACTGTGGCTTGCAAAGACAGAGCAGAGGACACTTTGATTTCTGAGAAAGAACAGGAGAACAGAAAAGATGGCCAGAGCATATCACAGGAATCAGCAGAACTCTACTTTTTGCAGCCTAAAGACTGCAAAAGTGAGACTTTACTTAGAGAAGAGCACCCCAGAGCACCGTGTTCAAGAATGATGACAGCCTAGGAAAGTCGTTTCTTGGGATTTGGTTGATAGGTACTGGATCCCTACAGCCAACAGAGAAGGAAGTCTGGCACTGCTCCTGCTGGCAGCAGGCCTTGGAATCATTCATATGGTGCTGGTTTTAAATATACAGAGAATGCAAAAATGGGGTCAGGAAAGCTTCTACCCACCATGAACTGTTTCTGCTTTGCAATACCTGTTCTCCAAGCCTTCAGGCTAGCTGCTTATGGACTGAAACCTCTACAGACTGTGAGCTAGATAAACCTTTCCTTCCTTAACCTGTGAGTATGGGTATTATGCCTCAGCAATGAGAAAAGTAACTAAGACAATTGATGTGGGAAAAGATCTCTTGTATGGAAGTCTAAAAGCAAAGACAAAAAATTGTGATAGAAAAATGGAATTGCCTCAAATTAAAGAGCTTCAGAACAACAAAGGAAACAACAGAGTGAAGGGACAATCTTAAAAGTGGGGAAGAGTATCTATTTTTAAGTCATATATCCAAAAAATAAATAAGGAACTCATACAACTCAGTAACAAAAACATAAATAAATAACGGGTAAAAGATGTGACTAGATGTTCCTTAAAAGGTGTTATAGTAGCAACACACATATACGAAAAATACTTAACATCTGTAATTATCAGGGAAATGCAAATTAAACCTATAGTGAAATATCACTTCTTATATGTGACAGTGGCTAATATCAAAAAGACAAACAACAGCAAATGGGAATGATGGAGACACTGGCAAGGATGTGGAGAAGATGGCATCCTTGTATACTATTCGTGGGATTGTAAATTAGTGCAGACATTTTGGAAAATAGTAAGAAAGTTCCTCATAAAAACTAAATAGAGATCTACCATATATTTCAGCAATCATTGTCTTTGGTATATAGATATTCAAAGGAATTAAAATCACTATACCAAAGAGATATCTACTCTTTCTTGTTTATTTTGGCATTATTCATTCTTGTCAAAATATGGAAACAACCTCAGTATCCATCAATGAATGAATAAAAAATGTAGTATATATACAAAATGGAATCTTAATAATTCTCAAGAAAGAAATATTTTCAACATGGATTCAAGTAAAAGATGTTATGCTCAGTGAAATACATAAAATAGCATAGAAAGACAAATATTGCTGGCTCTTCTTTTATATGTCAAAATTAAAAATATCAGTCTCATAGACATAGAAAAATAAGTTGATGACCAAGTAATATGAGTGTATTTTATATTCTGTAGTTATTAACACACATTAAAACATTGTCATCACATAAAGTGATAAATTGATGAAATGATAAGTTAACTGGCTTCATATAATCTTTCTGTAATACATAACTACCTCGAATATCACATCTCTAAGTATATACAATTATTATTTATCTATTAAAATAATGAATGAGGGGCTGAGTATTTAGCTCAGTGGCATAAGTGCCGGCCTGTCAAGCACGAGGCCACAAGTTTGATTCTGGGTACCAAAAAAAAAAAAAAAAAAATCCTAGAAATAAAATTCTTCATTAAAAATTTAAAAGTATTTTCAATTTCTTATTAAATGGAGCCAAATTGTTCCAATCAAGGTAACTTTATCTTATATACTTATGAAAATTGTATGACTTTAAAGACTGAGACATCAGTCTTAGGTGACAATGTCAGGTTTATTTCAAGACATTAAAGTGTTATAGACATCTAAAACAGATTTGAGAAGCTGAGCAGAGTTCAGAAAAGAGCGCTGTACATGAAACTGATTGAATTTAACCTATTTGATTTATCTTTCAGGTAAGAGAAAACCTGGAAAGTCTCATTTTCCTTGCTGTTCTTTATTACTCAACTATTTCTCATTTATACTGACCCAAAATGAAATAAAATGTTAATCTATTACATACTTTTATAATATTATCCTTATGATAAACACCTCCCACTTCCTGGTAGTATATTTTAGGTCAAATTCCTAACAAGAAAAATATGGAAGTCTCAGCCAATCTTATGGATAGTTCCCCTTGTAACTGGTGTGTATACTCTGGTGCAACACATCCTAGACAGAAAGGTGAAAATTATATGTTCAAAAAGAGATGCAATGAACCCAAAAGTAAGTTTAAGCAGAAACTAAAGATAAGCGTATCTATCACAGTATAAAAAAATCATGTCAGTATCACTGTTCTCCATCACTGATTCATCTGTAAGCTTTACTGAAGATATATTGCATCTTACTAAGATAGACTTTTCATGACTGAAGCAGAATTTTATATTATATATGTATCACTCATTTGCATTTATCCAATGACTATGGTGCATTGTTCATTTATCTCTTGCGTTGATTGTGTTAATGCTGAATAAAGCTCTTTACCATTTAAATATAAATATATTTTAATTACTCTTACTCTAGGAATTTTTAAAAATTACATGTAAGTTTTTAATGTACTGAAAGAAATTTTGAGAAATTATATGAGGTTCTACATAATTTTTTTTTCTATTTAACTTGTCTCCTAACATTTTTTCCTATGTGAACAACCCACTTATTTGATGTCTTGGGATACTTTAGGTAGGGGGAATTACAGCAGTTTACAAAATGATTAGATTTTTAAAAATTCTTCTTTCAAAACTAATGCAAAGAAAATATTGGATAGGTTATAATAGATACAGAGTTAATTAGATTATTGAACTACTCCAAGTAAGATTTTATGCATTTATGAACTAAAGTAGTAGACGTACACAGAAAAAACTTCAAATTTTAAAATAATAATGATAAGTGAGAATATGTAGGACTCTGTAATTATAATTGCGGAAAAGGATTGAAACCAGATGCAGGAGAATAAGATGATTTCAAGATTTACGGTTTTGGTGATTAAGCTGATTTAGATGATCTAAAAGATGATTAGTTGTGGTCATGGATAGGCTTAGGCTATGAGAAGAAGCCAGATAGATAGACTTAGGATATCTAACCTGGAGATAAGGCTTGAGTGCCAGCTTTATGTCAGCAGATGTAAACAAGGTGCATGTACCTGAGATTCCACCAGGAATAAGTGAAGAAATCCAGAAAGTAAAAGCTGTGTCTCATAAAAATACTGGCACTCAGAGAAAAGTCAACTGAAAGACAAAACAAAAAAGAAAACAAGTACGAACAAAAACCAAAAGCAAAAAATAAATAACACATCACTGTTGTGAGAGTAAGGTCACAAATATCAATGGAAATTGGCATTCAGAAAGATGGGGTCAGTAGTATGAGACATGAAAGGAATTCAAGCAGAATATTTACTAGACAAGTGTAATATTTACTTGGTAATATTCACTTGATCAAGAGAAGCTTTTGAAAAATGATACTATGCAGGAGAAATGGGTGAAACAGCTAACGTTCTGATTGTTGAGATAAAATGGTAAATAAATGAATATAAACACTGTGGCAGTATTTCTGGACTATTAGCCTTAAAAGACTTTAAAGGCAAAATCCTTGTCAATAAAAAGGAGAGGCCAGCTCATCTACTGAAAGTGCAATTGTAACGATACAAAATTTAAAAATTGTGGGATTTAACACTAGTTATTATATTGCATATTGTTATCTTAGAAGTAGTTCTATTTTGCTTTTTAAAAATAAAAAGAAAGTGCAATTGTACAGAAAAGCAGTCAAAGCAAGAAGTCAACATTTTGGCTAAGTACTACACAAGAGAGTGGTGTGTAAGAGATGCTAGATTGTAGTTGTTAGACCAAGGCATCGGAAGGTTGAAGAATATGCACTAACACACTTCCTGTGAGTATATGATTATTTTTTCCAGTAATAAGGAAGCGTAAATGAATGTTGCCTTGGAACTAAAAAAGTGAGAAGCTAGAAAGCTAGAAAGCAATAAGTAGACAGTGTTGTATGTGGCAAAATATTTTAGGATTATGATAAAATCTAGAGAAAAAAGACAGAGACATATCTACAACAGATGTTGAAAGTAAATGAAATTAAAAAGTTCAAGAAGCAAAAGGAATAATATATTTGACAGATTTTATAAATGAACACTGAAGTATTCCAGATACTCCAAACATATATTCTTTAAACATTTTATTACTATAAATAATAATTAGTATTGCCATTACAAATGATAAACATAATCACTGAGATCAAACTTAATAACAAATGTTATGAATATAGAATGAAACTACGTAAGATAAAATGATGTGTATGATATACATGTACAGCTTTTATTTAAAAATGTGATAAGTATGACTCAGTTAATGGAGATGATTTTAAATCCAGTGATTCAGATCAAGTTTTTGGAAGGAGAAACAAAAAAGAACTGGGTCAATTTCATCTTAAACTTGAGATAATTAGGAAAATCAAACTCCTATATGATTACCATAATGTTTCAAATAATTGCATATGCATATACACACACACAAATATGTATTTTTTTTCCTTTCTTAGCAAATTCCATGGCAAGACAAAATATTCTCATCCAGAGAAGCAGAAAGATAAATTACCTGGTGTCTCTATCCCCATTTGACCAGGACATCTAACCAGATATGGAGAGATAATGGAGATTTCTAAGTGTTGGAGATATAGATGCTCAAGGTAGAGGTGCTGAATTTTTTCCCCTAGATTCTTCATGTCTTCTTTCCCCTACACTGCAATACTAGGGCAGTGTACTAACCCAGATAAGTTATGCTATAGATTCTGTGGGCCATTTTAGCTTTTATAAAAGTTGTCCTATTTATACATATGGAAATATAGAGAAGCATTATCCTTGTTTAAACTAGTGCCTTTTCACTGACATCTGAATGGATGATATAAATTGAAAAACGAAACCTGAAGACTCAGACAGAATAAAGATTTTAAAATAAAGGATCACATTACTCCATGCAGTACATCTTTCCAGGACAGGACATCTGTTGATTGTGATAGCAAAAAGTGGGGGCCACAGTTGCATTCATTGTCCAGTGAGCTTGTCCACACAATTCAACCCACCGACAGCAATGAATGTTGATTGTGACCTTTTTAATTGCAACATCTGCACAGGGATGAGAATGGTCAGATGGGTTCTGCTTTGGTTTTCTTTCTTCAGTCAGTTCTGGGAGCCATGGAGTAGATGATGGTTGGCCATAGGGTACAATCAACGGTCGATGGTTTTGATTTTAATTCCAAACTCACCGACAGCGTTGAATGTTCACTGAAGCAACCTCTAAGCTCATAGTGCTGCAGACTTTACAGCCGTTGTAAGGATCTGAAGGCGATACAAGACACAAAAATCCACACACATAACTGTACATTTAATACATTTTTAATCAACTTTGAAAAAACAGGAAAGAAGGCTGATTCTTCCAAGTGAGAGTTTGGCAAGTCTCCATATCACATCATACGAAAGAAAAAGATATGTTTGATTGAGATTTTTAAAGCCTATTATGGCATAATCCCAAAGACAGAATTATCTAGCTATTAAAGACAAGGTAATTTGTTATTTAAAGTAACTTGAAGTATCAAATCAAAACAGTATTTTATAATTTCAGTCTTGCTGTGCTTATAAGTACTTACACAGATTGCATGTAGGGCATACTAAATTGTATAGAATTTTCTCAAATTAAATTACTGTCAATAGTACCATTTTATATTTACATATATTTAATATATTTGACTATAAAATACAGTTTAAAACTGTAATTCATGGAAAAATCATTTAGAAAACGCTAAACAAATAATGAATGAAGAACCTGGTTTAACGTACTTTTCTTATTTATGCTACCAATATGTCATTAATACAATGAAAGGTTAAGGGCCATCAACAGATTCTACAAAAACCGTATATTTCCAATTATTGGATATGAAATTCTTAACATTTGTTGTGGGTGGATAGGTTAAACATCCTTTTCATCTCTGTCTTTTGTAAGAATATTTTATAAATTATGCTTGTTTTTAAATTATTGTGAATGCTAATGAATATATTATATAACAACATTCAATAATTTCCTGTCATCAATTACAACAAAATTTTTTTTGGATATTTCAAAACCGGGATAGAAATTCACTGTTTAACACAATTAACTGCATCCAACATAGTTATAATTACCTGTGCATGAGATAACTCTGTTTGTTTTGGAATACTATATGGTCTATTCAAGTCAATGCTATTATTTGTGAAATTATTAGGGAAATATGTACCGCAAGTTCTACACATTCTGACATTTTATCTATTCAGAAAACCAAATTTTAAAAAGTTATTTTGAAATATCTTCTAGACAAATTTTTCACGAGACAACTATTCTCTGATATTTTGGGTGCAAATCAGGGATTAAGGATTCATGAAAATATGTATCAAGGAAATAAAATCAGTCATAAAATATAAAATAGTGATTAATCTGAATGTTGTAGCAAGCGTTTCTTTGAGATAAGCAATTTTTCTACAGAGTACAACTCCTTAAAAGAATGTTTTATAAGTCAGCATTTCAGTGTTGGTGCTGGAAAGAATGTCATCACGGGACAGGGGACTCCTTTGTTTGCATTATCAATTACACCTGAAGGCTGTTGTCTGTCTGTTGTGGCATTATTTTCAGGTGAATATACAGCCATTTTCAATCATCCTATTCATCTCTTTCTACACTGGGCTAAGATATGATTAGCTAGAATGCTATGATGAAAGACTCCAAACTGCCTATTTTTCCTAACACAAAATATTCATTTACCCTACTAACAAGCAGAGGTCTAGGGTAGTTACAATCAATTATATGCTATTTGTTTTACAAAACGTGCTCCTAGAATTTTTTTTTGCATGGTATAATTTAGCATAAATTTCTCAAATTCTTAAAATAAAAATCTTGAATATTATTAACATTGTCATATATGGATTCAATTCTAACAGTAAGACATTGTATTAATCTTATTTATATGTACATAAAAATAAATAATAAGTGCAGTAATTAATTCTTCTTTCTCAGGCCTAAACATAATATTTGTTTGAAATAGTCACAGTTCATTGACAGTTAAAACCTCTTAATAGCTTAAATTTTCTATAATGGGAAATAAGATCTATATTTAGCCTATCATAAAAGAAGGGAATGAACTTTGTGACTCTATTTTCTCAATTACTTTTGTTCCATCAGAAAAACTATTACGCTTGCTGGTTCAACTTAGTTTTCTGCTAATTCATGTGAGATTTTTACCCTTATTTCATGTGCTTGTAATCCTATCTCTTCTATATATTTATTTTCATGGCTTATTTCTTTAGCTATAAATTATGTATCTTTAAAATACAGATACTTAATGGTATTTTGCTTTTGCCTTTTATGTTAGGAATGTTCAATGTGATTTTTAAAACACAATGTTCATAATTCCAGAATTATAATGTGATGTTAGTAATTTGCATTGTTGCATAGTGTTCTTTGAATGAAAAGGGTCATGAGAAATCATTTATGGATGGGTATCCCCTATACCTTTCTTTTTCATTTTAGGGTTGTGTGGGCAGGATAAGACTAATTCACTTCAAGTCCAAATTTATTTTAGCTTTTATTTTTCATCCCTAGGCCTGCGAGAACATTAAGCACTGCAGTTTTGCTTAAGGTTAGTAGGTCATAAATAAACCAAAGCAATTTCTTTGCTTTGAGCAAGAAGGTCAGAGAATACATGCAATACCACTTTTAAACAAAGCAAACTTTAATGTAAATTGACAGAGGAAGATGAAGAAGTAGTCCAATGTGCCTCAGTAAAAGGCCATAGGGATTTGGGATGCTAAAGTTGTCGGTTTTAGAAATAGATTATGTATCTTGTTTGATGACCTGTATTTAATCTAAGTGACTGCCTCTGCCAGTCCATCCGGAGGGCAAGTGTGTGAAATAGAGCATCTCAGTGTCAGTCTCCAGCCCTTTCCTCTGCCTGATGCCTTGACCTAAATTGAGCATGTGTGCATTGAACTGAACGAACTAGAGGAAGTGAGATTTTGCTATTGCAATCCATTTCATCTTTCACTTAGGTTACTTTGTTAAAAGTTTTTGAGGCAGCACATTGCTATAAATAAACTGACAGTTTAATCAAGAAATGAATCTTCGCAAAATGTAGAAGAGAAAAATGTATATTCCATTTATACATAATATGTTTATATTAAATTATATATGTGTGTGTTTTACTGTTTCCCTCCTCTCCAAAGAAATAAACACTATCTCTAAAGCTAATCCTAAGTGAAAATCAAGTTTAACTGGTAACTTGGAGTTCCAAATCCTCTCACTTGTCTCAAACTTTATTTATTAGGGGTTTTATTCCTCTGCTTGGGATGTGAAATTTCATAAAATGTTTCAGCACTAGAATGTTTACCTCCAGACTCCACATTTAAAGTGTACAATGCGGAACACTCACTGGGTAATTATAATTGCAGTTACTGAGGGTTTTGGCAACTTCAATAGGAGAACAGTGTCAAAGAGGTCAAAATGCAATAGGCTGAATACAACAGAGAGCCAAGCTGACTACTTGAACACGAGTTTACACTGAGCAAGAAGGAAAATCAGCGCAAGTTATGCCAAAGATCGGTCCAATTAGACATCTTTTACTATTGAAATTCTGGCACCCCAGAGGAGACTATAATTTTGTTTTCCAATAGCTTTTAGTTACTGATACCCTTTATTGCTGTTGACAGCAAAAAGTCTGAAAATTGTCTTTTTTTTCCCCCATAAACTCTGAAAATGAATGTGTATTACCTACTGACTCAATAAAATGTCTTATGAATTTACTCTGGAGAAAATATTTCCAACAAAACTTTTGCAATATTCAGCAAAATTAACAGTGATTGAAGAAATCAATTGATTGATTTAAAATATACATATTAGCTAGATTCACATATTAAAAACCACATCATATATTTATTAAAAAAATACAAAACATAGTTTTTGTAGTTTGTTTGAAAACTATATCTAAGCTCAAATATTCCCATCATAATGGAAAAGATTAAGAAACACTAGAACTCCAACATGAACTTCACTTTAATAATAATGTACATTTATTGATGATTTTGCTTGTCCTTTTTTTCCTAAACTCTTTATATATGCATTCCCGTGCATGTGAATTGCAGCAGTTCAAAAGGTACACCTTACTGCAAAGCATGATACAATTAGTATTCAAAGAACAATAGATCTGAAGCAAAGGGCCTGGGTTCTTCCATCCATTGACCTGGTTACATAACCTCTATGAACTTAGTTTATAATAACATTATCTTTATATTATAAAGTTTTGAACAACACTTTGTAGTAGTCTATAAAATGTGGCATGAAACTTGTTATTAAGAGACAGACATTATATTAAGGATTCCAAGCTTCCAACCAGCTTCTTTCCTCAAAACAGCAGCTTTCAGAGGCTTCTTTTCTAAATAGCTTCAAAAATATATGACTTTTAAAAAAATAATATACCATCCCCAGTAATACATGCAACTCTGCTGAATGATTTTCTTACCTGCTAGGTGGTGGTGACTGACACGCAGGAGAGCTCTTCCAAGGGAGGTAGTTCTGAACAGAATTGATGTCTACTTAAAAGTCACAATTACTCTTTAATTGTTCTAAAATGAGGAGCCCTTGATTAACCTAACACATATGCATATACAGGGTGGTTATTCCTGATCACCTTTCAAAACAGTTTCTTAATTTCATCTTATCCCCTAAATTATTTGATATAAAATCAAGATGCCATTGTCTGTACATAGAATTCTGTGTGTTTAAATGTTGCTGCATTTTAAAAAATTATGAAATTCTCATTTAAAAATATATTCATGATTTATCTAATGGGAAACTAATGCTGTATGTTTTTCTCTGAAGTTTAAATGCTACTTGAAACACAAACGAAGGAAGGAAAACTGGGAAGAAGAAAGACAGAAAAGATAAAAATATAAATATATATATATGTTGTTTCATTTTTCCAAAATGCATGAGCTAACGTTACAGATAAATTATACTATCCTCCTGAAGTACTTCATTCTGAATAATGATAAATCAATAAAAGAGCTAGTTTATAAGAAAAGATTTTTGATAGAAACAAATTTTTTTGAAAGTATACGATAGTGTGAAATTTAGAGTGAACTGAATATGATGAATAACTTGAATCATAGCTGAAGCTTGAGCTGTTTCTTTACAGTGAAGATCCACCATGAGAATACACTAACCCTGTGACTTCCACAAACTCTGCCAATGCATGGTGACAACTGTATATTTTTAGCCCAAAAAAGCAAAAAGGCATGTCCTTGACTCCTACAGTATAAGAAGAATAGAGATGCTTACTTATACTTGAAATGAATTTAAAATTACTTCCATGTAAACTCTACCCATTAGTAATAGTTTGCTTCACATTATTAAAATGAAAATCTTCTAAAGAGTAATACTTAGAAAAATAAGTATTTTTCTGCAACAAACCTGTTACATCTTTGAAAAGGAACAGACCCTTTATACAAATTTGCTAAAAGTTTCTCATGAAAGATATAAATGATGTTGAGTGCCTATAATAATCAATACTTAGGAAGGCTGAAGCAGGAGGATTGTAAGTTCCATCCCAAGAGCCTGTCTCAAAATAAAGGAAAGGAAAATTTTTAAAAAATCTTCTAAAGTGCTGCAATGAAGAAAAGCTAAAATTTATAATAAAAATATATTTTAGGTTTTTAAAAGTCTTACATAAAACAATGCGATATTATTACATCATGTTACCTTGTAACACATGTGATTATAATTTTATTTTAAGTATATTAAGTGTATTTCAAATTTTCTATACTCCATTCAAAATTCAGTCTGTAATTTAGAGTTGTCTAAACTTTATAACTGCGGTCTCCACGAACTATTTTATTAAAATGCCTTACTATTTTGGGAAGATATCCTGAATGTATTTCTGGCTTCATAAATTATACAAGCATCTGTTCTTTCAATCAACTGGATGCCAAATGTTTTTTACATCAATTTGTGTGAAACAATATATATGATACTGCTTTATTTCCCATGAGCGTTTACTAAGCACTGAGTTTGTAACCAAGAAATGTTTGGGTGATTAAGATGGTAGGAGAGGAATAAAATGCAAATAAAATTAATTGTAAAGAAAGATCTGTGGGAAATTTTTGAATCTATGAATAAAACAGTTGCACCTTTCTAGATATCCATTATGCATTGAAATTTTAAACCAATTAGCAGAACCTGAGAAAATTTAAGTAAAAATTTGCATCTTTATTAATTTGTTTCTTATAGCTATAATATTGAATGTTGCATTTAGAAAATTTATAGTTTTAATAATGAATTCTGATACTCATTACAAGGATTGTGGTTAATTTCAACAGAATTACCTCTGTAAGACTTCATCTTTTAAGAATGAATAATCTAAAGAGACATGGATGTGCCAGATCTTAAAAACCACCCTTAATGTAACTAGCAGGTGACTGTTTTCCCCACAGGTGACATGTGGGCCAGAAAGAATTCTAGCCAAGAGACTCCACTGCAGCTAAATATTGTATTTCTCAATAAACCCTATGAAAATAAAATACCTTAGTGCAAGTAGTTCATCAAATGTCTGTCACTATGCATCTTTGGATTAATTGAATAACAGATTTATACAATGATTTGGATTCTGATAAATGACTTCTACTACTGAGACTGTAATTTTTATAGTTTCTATTTTTAAATTTCCCTTAGCAAAATTTTCCTTAGTTTTCTAGAATTATTCTTAGAAAAACTGGCTATATTTCCTCCATTTTACATTTAAAGAAGAGGCAAAAGTTAATATTTAGTAAAAAACATGGAGTAATTTTACTTTTAAAAATTTCATAATGCAGCGTATTAATTGATTCACTAAAATCAGGTTAAACAAAAAAAGACTTTATTCAGACGTTATTCTATATTTCTCTAAAGGAAACAGGAGGACGCTCTCTATCAAATGTATATTAATATAGATTTAAATTATTCATTATAATCTTAGCAGTTTCTCCTTCAAAAAATAATAATTTCTCCTCTAACAATGCTATTTAAAATTATTATATGATAGAAATATATTCCCATAAATAAGGATACATTAAAGTAAGAAAATTTTCCTCCAACCAAATGTTCAAATCTTTACTTGTGGGATGTTTTCCACTTATATTTGCAGTTTTGCAAAAAATTGAACAACTTACATTTTCAAAAAAACCTATGATAAATGGAAATCTGTTTAGGGTTGGGAATAGAAAATCTTTGATATTATTAGGTAAAAATAGAATACTATGATTTGATTTGAGCAGTATTAATGAGTATATTACATATGACATTGAAATGACACTTTTCTAACCATTGCTAACCCAGGCTGAAACAATCTAGTTTCTAGCAAAGATGCAACACAATTGTACTGTACTCTTCAGAATGATTCCTTTTGAACTTAACTTACAGGCAGCCCCACTCCTACATTAATTATAAATGGTTGCTGGAAATCACGGCTAGGAAAAACTGATACAATCACCCCTTTGCAGAATGGTTTTCAACAATTTATGTACCATTAATAATACAGCAGTTTTGTAGATTACATTTTTTAATCCATAAGAGCTTTAACTAGATAGTGTTGGATCAAAGTTAATTTAGGTGTTTTCTATATTGCCTCTGAAACTCCAGTTAAATACGCCACTCTTTCTAGTTTCCTGTCTTAAAACTAGTTTTTAGGGTTTCTGAAGGCTGGAAAACAGCTGCAACATTCCAAACGCAAAGTTAATGCTTTTAAACGATCAATGAAATACGGAGAAGCAAAGTGTTAAATTTCTTCTGGAAAAATACACAGAGACTAGATTTTGAAAAATACGCTTAGTTATCAAAAATGTAATACATTAATAGTATATATACATTCATAATTATACAGTTCTTTCTAAGGGGTGATTAAATAAATAGGCAAATCATGCAGTCACAGGACAAAGAAAGAAATATTCATAAAAACACTGAGTAACATTCAATTTAGCATACAGGTTCAGAAACTTTGTAAATTTTGTACAAACTATGATAGCTATGGTTGTAGAATTTCATAGCTCTACTCACCAAACTAGTTTTATTCTTTTTATGTGTAAGTATGATGTATTAATTTTTACTTTTAACATTTTTACCAACTAAAGACCTTTTTTTTTTTTTTTTTCAAAATTGTACCAGCAAACCACATTACTTATGTGCTGTATATGTACTCTGAGACTGAAGGGCATCTGATATTATCAGCTGATCTTTAACACAAAGGAAGAATATACTAGTGTAATAGATTACAGTCAAGTCTACCAAGAGAATATATAACTCTAGGTTCAAAGCTGTATATTTTTCTCTGTGAAATGCTTCCTAAAATTGAAAAAAAAAAAAAAAACAAGGATTGTGTCAAAGCTTTCTTTCTTGGTCTCTCTCTAGACAGTGACATCCTTGTACTTGGACTCTGTGAATCTTGGGAACCTGATGTACTTCTGAGAATACAGTAAGTGCTCAATATGTGCTTGCTCTTCCTTGATTCCCTGGCACACACAGATAGCTGGAGAGTCACCCTGACAAAGTCTGTTTTCCCTCTGTCCTGGACTCACATGACTTCACGTTAAACAGTACACAGTTTGCTAACTTCCATAGTGGAGCCCCTCACTTCTGAATATCCTGAAATCTACAGTCTGAGTCTCAGAACCCACTCACTCACAGAAGCTCAGACACGGAAAAGTTGAAACCCATTCAGTGCTCATTATCTCATGTCTTCTACAATCTTTGAAATATAGCAATGTATGGAACCAAGTTTCAGACAAATAATTCTGTCTTATTCTCAATAAAGTGCTTTATTAAAGTAGAAGTTTTATTCTTCCATGCATATGGACAGTATTTTCTTCTAATGATATGAATAAAGTTATTCATTTTTTAAAACCTACATTTGAAATATTTCATTTCTCTTAAGGTACTTTTTGAGACATTGTATACTTCCAATACTAATTTAACTTTTAAACATATTTCTATATGATTTATGTTAATTAAGAAGTGTAAATTAGAATAACTTTGGGTCCATATAAAACATATTTGTCAATTGTTCCCATTTTTATTTAATGAAAGGCAAAAGTGGGGGTGTAGAGGAGACAGTAAAGAGCTCTTTGTAGACCAAAGTCCACCTTAGAAGTAAGTTCATTGACTGCCATTATCATCAAAACATAGCTTAAGTAGTGGGTTTCAGACCACTGAGGTATTTAAATATTTTAAGCACATATTATTCACTCAGGCAGCAAGTTCTGGCAAAAAGAATTAGTTTCTCATCTCAATATTTTTAAGTATTTTTTGGAACTGAGAGCTTCAGGACAGTCATCCAGCTAATCTTAATCTTCTCTGTTTCCCCAGGAAATAAGACCTATATTCAGCTTTGAAAACCAGAGCTCAAAAATGGCAGCCCCATTCAGCCTTCCTCACCCTGCCTACCTTACAGAGTAGGGAGCAAGAGAATAGAGAAGATCAATTAGGTGAGGTAGGCTGCTGGGGCTGGGCGTTTTGAGCTACTCTTTTCAAGGACGATTATTTTCTGGCTGGGTCTTGTCTTCGGGGAAACACAGTTTTCATAAAATGACCTTCAGTAGTATCTAATTTTGCACATATGAAAATTAGTCTGGTCTTAATTTTCCAGTCTTGTGAGCAACTTTGATCAGCCATTTTGTGTACCAGGTTTAGTAACATTAAGTGTTTTAAAGCTATTCTTAAAAATTAAATCATCCTCAAAGGATGGAAATTCTCCTGAGTATCTTTAAGTGCAGGGTATAAAAATGTCTATGGTTGGATTTTAGACAAATCCATGAGTTTTTGATCAATAGCGGAGTCCCTGACTTGCGTCAACTTCAAAAGCATTGAACTCCAAAAGGCAAATAGTGTTCAAATGTATGTATAAGGATATATTATCCAAAAGTCAGGCATATTAACATAAACATTGATATTTATATAAAATTCTCCACAAATGGAAAATTTGTTCTTTAGCCAAATCAAAGAAACCTAAAGCCTTCTTTGCTACTAACAAGCTGCCAATTATAATGTTCTTAAAGAAAAATATTCTAACTTTCTTGTGTATGTGTGTTTTTATTGAAATAATTTTAGCTGAAACAAATTTCCTCAAAAGATGCCATTTAGAAAGATTTTCAAAAGCAATAAAATAATTTTAGAATCGCTGTTTTTTCATCAAAACGTCTTTTATTAAATTTGGGTTATGTCAACATCTAAAGTTGATAAACACTTAATTGACGTAACCTCTCACTTCATAGCTCCGCACAGCTTTCTCTTTGAGTCAGCTACTTACATTGTAATGTATGGGCATCTTATTTTGCATAAAATTGCTCTCCTTAAAGTTACATTGGATTTTGCTTATTGCTCACATGAAGAAATTCTGACCCATAAACAAATGAAAAGAATTATAACCAACTTAAAAAATCTAAGCATCCCCTAAATAATTTCAGAAAATTAATTGATTTAAATAATCTGATTAGTTTCTTCCCAAATAATTTCAGAAAATTAATTGATTTAAATAATCTGATTAGTTTCTTCCCATTGTTTACATTTAACTACAAGGCAAGCACATTTTATATGAGATTTACGAAGAAATTCTGTTATTCGGGTAACAAAGCCATGAAAACATATCATGTTTTAGTCTATCTTTGGCTTTTATTTTCTGCTAAAAATTAGACTATTATGGGCTAATATAATAGTTCAACAGCGTAGCATCTGCCCAGCAAGCACAAGATCTTAAATTCGATTCCCAGTACAAAACACACACACACACACACACACACACACACACGCATACACACACATGCACACACACAAAACCTTACAATAATAATTTTTTCTTTTTTTTTAACCAAACAAAATTTGTGCACTAAATATGAACTTTTAATGTAACTACCCACTTACAGTTTCTTTCACATTGTCATTTCTACTTTCTGTTATAGGCATCACACTTTTGTTACGGTCAAGTAAATGACACAAAAATTTTGCAGTTGATACTGATTCGAAAGTATCAAGAAGACACAACTCTGTGAACCCCTATTATAAGATCTTTGAGAAGCAAATTTGGCTTCATGAAATATTTTAAGTACTTTTCATTTATAATTTTATTATACTAAACTGGAAACACGAGGCATCCTAAACAAGTATCATTTCTTAGAGATTAGAACATTAATATTAAACAAACCTAAAAATGTCCATTGGAGAAAACAGATACCAGCAAGTAAGTTTTTGTTTTTACCATGGGAAGTAGCATGAGGCATATATCAGAAGTAATGGAAAGGAACTCAAATTTTTTCTTCCTTTAAATATAACGTTTTATTTAGTTAAGGCTAATACAACATAAAAATATAATTTTTGAAAGTCTCTATAGTTATTAAAGATATTGGAATGGATAGTGTAAATTTAAAATTAGATATATTTTATTAAAATTATATTTTGGGAGAAATTATGGAATTGACATATACATAATATATTGAGAAATTTAAAACAGATTTCTCCTAAAATTTAGTATATTTATATGCTTGTAAATAACAGTGTTTCTAAAACATGACATTTTTTTTCTTAGGACAGTAGTATGTGTACATTGATTGAAAGAGCTTGGAAAGGGGGAAGGCATACTATTTAAAAGGTCCAGATTTGAAAACACTATATAATCCTGAGTCTTTGCAATTATTCCAAGTGGAGCAGAATGTTTCTATTTTTAGAAAGATGTGATTGAATGAAGTGTAATGATTTGCTTAACCCAACCTACTTTCATGCTCTTGTACGTGTGCCATGGAATATTTACTCAGGCTTCATTCTCTGTTTTTTTATATTTTCAGGGATTCTAAAATTCTTAAACATGCACCAGAGCTATTTTAAAGGAATTTTCTGCAGGAATAGAACTGAACTTGGAGGCTGTCTCAGTTGTTGTACTTTACGATTCTATAGTTTGCTTTGGGATTCTCAAGAGACTGAGCAGGTAGTTGTAACAAAACCTGGCAAATACAAGGAAAGGCTTTAGAATTTGAATTACAAATTTTCAGATAGATAGGAGCACCCAGATTTTTTCTTAGTTTCAGAAGCCAATTTGAAAACGCAAACACTCCTCCTCCATTGCTCATTTAGAAATGTCACATCAAAGCCCAAACACAAATACAAATTTTTCTGAAATTCCATCTTGCATGTAACGCTGCTCTTGCTTAAATATTTTTCTTAGTAAAGTGAAATAAGAAAGAAAGAAAGAGAGTAGCAAGAAGGAAAAGGGGAAGGATGAAAGAAGAGGAAGGAGCAGTGGGAATGATGGAAAGAAAAGAGAGGTTTATAAAATGGGCATGGTGCCACTGTCCCAGATGGCGAGAGTTAGAGGCAGTCAGAAGAGATCCACAGCATCAAGGGAGACAAGGGCCAAAAGCAATCTTGATTTGGAATCTCCTAAATTTTTACATTTCCTGAGATTCAAGTCTAGCATTAGATGAGAGTATGTTATTACTCTTGCATTAAAGTGCATGTAATGAGTTTTGCTCTTTCTCTCAATAATGGCCTTCTTCAGGTTCTGTATCTAACCTGGTTTAGAATCAACTCTTGCATTATTCTATTACTGTAGAATTTTCTATTTTTCCAACTGGATTATATGTATTTAAATGTATTTCCAATTGGATTATATGTATACATATATATATTCACTTTGCTTTCCTTTGCAAAACAAAAGTATCTAAATTCATGGTTTAATTTTTAGAGGATATAAATATGAGAAGAAGGTATCCAGTGGGTGCAGTTAACTTACACTTAAGACAAACATTACTTTGAATATAGATTACTAGCAGAAAATGAATATAGATTTGGATTATTTTCCATTTAGTTAAAATATAAATATGCACATTCTCTGATAAAAATAATGAGAAATAACTAACATCAATAATTTTCTCATAGATGAATAAAATATTTAAATTAATTCTATTTGTTTTTTACATGGAATATTCTGATTTTATTTCAATTGAAAATATATTATTACTTAAATTTATAATTCTTTGTGTTTTTATCATCCTAAATTACTTTATTCATAAAACAGAAAAAAGAGATAGAAAATATAAGTGACTTACCTAAAACTCAAAAAAAATTTGAAGACGGAGCCAGGGCCAACACACATTCCAGCTCTCTCTTCTTTCATTTTTTTTCTTTCGTCATCCTTCCTTCCTTCCTTTTCTTTTTTTTCTTTTTGAGACAAGGATTCACTGTGCAGTTCACACTGGTCTTGAACTCACTTTGTGGCACTGGCTGGCCTTGAACTCCCAGAGATCCTTTTACCTCAACATCCTGAGTGCTGGGATTACTCAAGCATGGCCGCTATGCCCGGCACACAGCCTCGTCTCAAATGATCAGTTGTTCCTCTCTCAGGGGCTCCGAAAAGTTTCTGGGTCAGTCTAAAAGTTATTTTCCAATTTACAAGACTGTGATTATTGTTCTAGCTCTTGCTCCTTTTAAAATCCATCTTATAAGTCAACCTTTGTTTTGTTTCAGTTCAGAGATAACATGTGCAGTGTAGAACGTTTCATTGTAGCAAGACACATTTTCTTCTCTTTTTTTTCTTAACAAATGTTTTAAGAAACTAAAATTTCACAGTTCTTTCAGTCCTGTTATCACACTGTAGCCACATGAAAAGCAACTTCTCCATCCTGTTCCTCCCCTCTTTCTCCCAGAAAGCCACAGGCTAATACATTTGATCCCAAAATGTCATAAAATATAAATGTCCATTTTTTTTTTTTTTTTTTTTTTTTTTTTTTTTTTTTTTTTTTTTTTGTCTGAAGAGCAAAGACGCTTAATGGATTTCTTTTCGTTGTTTTTCTCTGGAACAAAGAGTTAGTTGAATGCTTTATGCTTTGCGATAAATAAAATACTTCTTATCTAGTTCTAAAACCTCCGGGTGTTTTTCTTTCCCCCTGGTCCGTTTATTCCCACCCCTGCCTCCTCCTTCTCTCCTCCTCTTGTCCTTCTGCCTCTTCTTTTTCTCTTGCTTTCTCTCCCCTCCTTTGCCTCCTCATTCTTCTTTGAAGATATTCTTTCAATGTTTGAAACTTAGGAGGGTAACAGGCTCAACTATAGAAGTAACTTTTACCTGCCAAAAGAGAAGTTCAATCTAAAATACATATTTTCTCACTACCTTTTCATTTCTAAATTGACACCCTAAAACAAATGTAAGCGCTATTAGGCCATGTGAGATACTAACAGCGTATAGTTCTTGGAGTCCTAAAAAATAAGGCTATTCTAAGATTGAGCAATGGAAAATGAGAAAGAAGTACACATAAGATAAACTTTCTGAAGCCTTGTCTGGCCAGGTACAAAGCTCATTTTAGAAGTCTGAAACTCTGACATCCGCACTAGTCGAACATGAGAACCCGCTGAATGCTGGTACCTGCAATGTGGCTTTGTTCATGTCGCCACCATTGCTAGGAGAATCAATGAACAGAAAAAAAGCTTTTTTTTAAATTTTTTTTTTTTGGTGTATGATTTTTTTTTTTTTTTATCAGATGAGTTAGGAATTTCCTAAGAATAAAATGAATTTCTGGCCAAGTTTTTTTGTAGGGTGGGGATTAAGAAGGGGTTTTTCTATTTTTAAACACAATATTTATTCATCATTTAAAATAACTTCCCTGCATTATTACATGAACTTAAAAAAGATGTAATCAGTAAAGATCAGATGGAATATATATTCTTTTGAAACCGAACGATCACGTTTCAGTCTGGTAGCAAATAGCAGGACAGCCGCTGCTGACCCGTCCTGCTGTCCTTAATTAGCTGTGACGGCCTGAGCTGGCAGTGCTCGGCTGTCCATTCTGCCTTCGCAAGGAAATGCAGTCAGGGCCCATGGGTGCAGCACACTTTCCAGGACTGGGGTTTGGAAAAGCAACTGTTCCCTGAAGAGGCGGCCCTGGGTAGCTTTGTTTCTTCCAAGGACTGTCCCAGGGCCTGCCTAGCTTTCTATGTGTTCCAGTGACAGCTTTAAGGTAATAGGGCCCAAGACCCAGGCAGGTCATCTGTCTTAGGCTGTGCATTGTCCCCACACAGGCATTTCTCTTAAGGAGGACTCAGCCCATAAATCAGAGACAGAAAGTCTGTCTCTCAGGACTCTGAGGTGCAGCTGAGAGCGTGAAGGAGCCATTGTCTGCGGCCCTTGGCTGTTAGGAGTATGTGATTACAAGCTGGAAAAAATGCAGCTCTTGCAGAGCCTCAAGTGCCTGAAATCTACAATGGCGATTAATTAGGGCAGCCAAAATTCAAAGTAGGGGAATAATGAACAAGTTTTCAGAATGAATGGAATTAATTTATAATGTATAGTAGGCAGTCTGCCCAATTGCTGTGCCCTTTGGACAAGCAAAATAATTAAGAGCCTACATATTCTACTAATTCCATGTGAATTTTTTCCACTCATTTCTATAGCTTTTTTTCTTTATAGCATTAAATATAGTATATGCTTTTTAACGTGACAAATAAAAATCTGTTAAGTATATTAGAGGCTTACTGACACAAAACTTAAACTATGTAATGAAGTATAAGCATGATCTCTAGTTTAAAAAAACCTCAGACACGATCGGAGTGTTTTGATAAACAATTTCTTCTTTCTGTGAAAACAGCTGAGAGGAGAGGTTGGGTGTCATTTTGAAACAATTGTTATCTTTAACGCGAAACGAGATGATGTGAAAATTTTCTCTTCAAAAGTGACATCATATTTACTAAAAACTGAGAGAGCAAGATTGAATGTAGACAACGATTAATAGAAAATCTTCATGAATAAAGTGAATGATGAAGCACATGGTTTAATCTTACAACCTCCTGCATGTTTGGACTGCATATAAAGACATACGGAATTTGGATCGAACTTCTCAGCAATCGTAGATCATTTCCACTGGCAGAGGATGTTTTACAGAGGTGAAATGACCTGGTTTGTATTTTGGCATGTGTGTGAGATCAAACAGTTGCTTAAGATAAACAGTTTTACAATAATGTCTGGTTATTTTTAAAAATCCAACTGTTTCCTATAAAATCACAATATAAATATAGAAAAATGTATAATACAGGACAAAATGTTGCAGTTTCTTTGAGTGTGACTGCTACGTATGATACGCCTTTAAAAACAAATGATCATTTATTCTTTTATTAGTCTTTACACTCTGCTGAGTAAAACTTTCTGCATGGCCCTCTTGACCTAATTTGTTTTTTCTCTGTATTTTGCTATTGTTATCATCATTAATCATATCACTGAGGAAGAAAATCCAGTGCTCATTTCTTTTCTCATTGCCCTGTCTTATAGCTTCTAAGCATGAATCAATTCATGATATATAATAAACAACTCACATTGAGAACTTCACATATTCCAACATTCTGCCAACCTCCCAACACTTCAATTTGGTAGACTGTCTTGTTATCAGAATCAAAGTCCTCACCAAGCCTTCCCTGAATGGTCTGAATAATTTATTTCACTTTATCTCTTAACTCTCTTTGCCTTGCTCAGTCTACTTCAGTCACAAGGACTTCTTTGACATTAAAAGAGTCTGCCAAATAGAAGAGGTGGCCTCAGGGCCTTTGATCAAGACTTTATCTGTCTAGAATGTTTCACTATTAACTGAATTCATGCTTTCCCCTTCATTCATGCCTCTATTCAAAAATTTCCTTTTATAAAGCCAGTCCCACACCACTCACTATAAAAGTGTCCTTATCATTACGTACTGTCTTATTTTGCTTAAACTGCAAATATCACTGTGACATTATGCTAGATCTTAACTTAGTCATTTATTAAATCTATTACACATATCTCACATATCCCAGGCACTGTTCTAGAATTTTGGGAAATAGTATAGAGTAAAATGTAATAATTTATCTGCCCTCATGAAGTTTAAATTTTAGTAACAAAAATGAAAACTAATAGAAATAAGTTAAAGTTAAGGTATATTGTCTGTTATAAAGACTAAAGATGAAAAAAGAAAAGTAGGAATCTGAGCTGAGAGTGAAGTTGAAATTCACAGTAAATAGACAGTGAAAGTGACTTTTCAAAAAAGATTGGAAGTGGAGAGTCAGTGGACTCTACTAATCCATAGGAAGAGAATTCTAAGAAGGCATCAGAGCACACAGTAAGAGTCAAATCTAGTCTCACTGGCAAATTTACACTCAGAAACATTTGCTCATTTGTCCAGAGTGGTCGGAATCAAAGGCTGATGGGAACACCACTGTAGACTGGCATGACATGGCCAGGTTGTCTTGGCCCTATCACTTACAAGAATATGGCTCTGAACAGTAGCTTTTATTCTGTACCTCAGCTTTTTCAGGTGCAAAGTGGGCTAAATAGCTTTGAAGATATTTTAAAAGTCTTTTTTTGGGGGATTTCCAGAGATGATTACTACATATATTCTCAAAATAGTACCTCTCTGAAAAACATTTTGGAAAGTTTAAAAATGTTTATATTTGAAGAGCTCTGACCAATTCGAACTATTTTATTCCACTAAAAAGATGCACACAAATTATCCAAGAGTAGAAATGGTAATATTCCAAGAGAATGAAATTTTAAGAGCAAGGAACTGAGTATATCAATCCCTGTATTGGGGAATTAGCGGTAAATGTTAGAATGGTGTAGTGAGAAAAGAAGTGGCTAGACACATGTGATGAAATTGCTGAGTTCCCTGAGCTCAAAATATGTGAGACTGGAGGTCAGGTAAGGAGCCTGGACTGGGTCTGCGAGCCCCGGGATATACGCACAATTTCTGTAGTCATGAGCTTATGTTTCCTGTGGTCAGTGATCCATCTTAAAATGAAATACAGTAAAAGCAGTTAATCAAATTTTTATCTAAGATACTTTCTTTGACATGAAATTTTACAAGACAAAGTGGAGGAAGAACTGATAAAGCTTTGAGAAGTTATTAGAATACATTTCAAAGCTATAAAATTTACACTAGAAGAGTTTCCCGCCCCTCTTCTGCCTGCTACCCTGTACTGGGATATTATAGAGTGTGAGCATATGGTCTCTACTCCCGTTTTGCTCTTCACAGAGAAGGAAATGGCATTAAATAAACATAAAAAACTTACTCTGAAAGTCATTTAAGAATACATATAGTGTAAGACTTAGCAGTATTCTAAATTGAATGTGGTCAATTTTAGAATTTACATGACCATGTGCAGGGTTCCTTGAAGTCACTGCTGCAGTGGTCAAGAAATTAAGGAATAATAAAAACTGCTTATAAAGGGTCCCTTGAACATACACTTAGGTTTTTTTCCTTCCATATCTCTACCCCAATTCATCCTCCTTCTAATTCTTATTTATGTTTACAGAGGCCATTTGCGTGCATATCCCAAATAGCTTCCTTTAGAGACTGAGATTCACCAACCACTACTCAGTAGTGCATTACTAGTGTTTCACTTGTGGGATAAGACAAATATAACCAGCATTTTAATGGGATATTAGGTTTGCCCTCAGAATTGTTAGATAAGATTAATATAATCAGCAGCAAATTATTATATCCCCAATCTGAACCATAAAATGTAGTAGAAATTCATTTCTAAACAGAAGAGTAAAAAAGAAAAAAAGTACGGCACATGCAAAAATGTATAGACATGGAGAGACTTTGTCCATTTTAGAAAATTGCATCCACTTTCAAATTTAATGTTTTAAATAAACTCGTACAAAATAAATTTAGTTAAATTTAAATAATGCCACAAAAGGTAAAACAAAATGGCATAAATTTATAAATAACTATAAGGCTACCAATATACTCTATTTTTAATGCACTTTATTTAAAAATAAAATTGTATGCTATAGTAATTGTTCTAAAAAGCAAATAATTTATTCCACTGACTTTAATTTACATAATTATGTATGTGTAGTATATCTAATTTACCTATACCAGTATAATAATAAATGCATGCATACATATTTTTAAAATAATATTATAATCATCTATTAATTAGTGAATTTTTTAGAAGTGAATAGCTCAATTATAAGCTGCATTTTATCCTTCTAAACAGGCAGATTATTTCATGAGCAATGACAATTGAAGAATCACTGATTGTTTTCTGTGTGCCTTTTTTTGTCTTTTTCTTTTTTATTGGTACCAGCGATCGAACTCACGACCACACACTTGCAAGGCAGGAGCTTATGCCGCTGAGCTAAATCCCCAGCCCCTTGTATTGCCTTTTTAAAAATTTTTGTTTTCTTAACTGACTATATACATATTTTACTCATTTACTTTCCTTAAGTTTATGATATGTGTCTTAAGTCACTTGCTTAAGTTTTTAAAACATTCTGTGTCTCATTTTTTGTGTGCCTATATACAAAAAATATTTAAAATTGAGAGAGTCATATTACTGACTCCATAGATCAGTACTTCCTGATAAACAAAATTCAGCTTTTTCAAGATATATAAGTATATCACTGGCCAATGGTAGGTATTTCACAAACATGATATCTCAGACATTATTGTAACTTGGAAAACAAATATGCAATTAGTTAACCCATTATAAGAAAAAGCAACTTTTTCATTTGAAATAGAAAGCAAGCAAAAACAAATAGTCATTTACTTTTGGAAAAATATCTGTGTTATACTAATATTTAAGAATGTTTTCGTGTTTATATTAATATTTATATCAACACTATATTAACAGTTGCATCAAAAATATAGGCATATTTTTAACTTTCCTCCTGTAAACTCTATTTTGTCTAAATCTGAAAATATATCATGTTTTACCAGTGAAATATTTTGTCTTTTATTAAATTTAGGAATCATTAAACTGTTCTTTTATATGCTAATGAGCCCAAAATTTGGAAAAAATAAAATCAATTGAACAAAAAGTAAGTGGGTCAATAATTCCCATCCCAGAAGCCAGGGATTATGCAAGCCTTAAAGAAAGCATGTTTTAACATGGCTCTTCCTGATGGAGTTAGTACATACAAGAAGTGATCAAAATGTACAGCAAGTGTTTAAATAAAACATTTAGCACACTAAAAGATAATGCTATAAATCTCTGGAAAAAGACTCCATATTTGTCCCATCGTCCTTGTTACTTTCTGAAGCAGGTTTGGACTGTTCTTAGGAGGTGTGATTCAAGCTCAGTGAATGCCGCTGAGCCATCCAATTGAAAAGCAGTTTTGCAAAAACATTGTAGTAGATCCTCATCTACCACTTTCACTGAAACTAGCACAGTAAAACTTCTGGCTCATCCTCAAAGTAAAATAACCATGAAAAGTAAATATTTTGAATCAACTGAAGAGAGCATAGCAGCCATGACAGTGAAACGAAAGACCCTTAAGGAAGAGGACTTCCAGAGCTATTTCAGAAAACAGTAAGAATGATGGCGTAAGTGTGCTCAAAGTGAGAGTAAGTATTTTGAGGGTGATTAATGGCAATGTGTCTTTGAATGCAATGCATTTTTAAAAATTTAAACATTCACTATATTTTTCTATCGTACTGCCTCTACGTCTCTTTACGTAGAAGGGAAGTCCAGTAGTTACAGATGCGATAAAGAAGTTGTAATATCTATTTTCTTAATAGGCCTCTAAGAAGGTTATAGGCCTGGATTTTTATTACAAAAATAGTTTCCTGCATATTTTATGCATTATTTATTACATAAATTATTCATTATTACTTAAATTATTTAAAATTTACTGTGTGTCTCCTTCTTTTAATTTGAAAAGAGATTACAATGAAAAGGAAAAGATATTTTGATGAAGTGGCTAGGGATTGAACTTTTCAGGCCATTGAAAGAGAAGGGTACATTCCTGACACTTGTGCTCACTCATTTGCATATTAGCGTGTTTCAGTGATGGTCCTGTTCTTTGACAGGGAATTGGATTAATGCAGTGCGTAATGAGTAATTACCTGTTGGGGACTTCTCTTTGCAAGTTCCTGCACAAGGGACATTTCTATTTACAAAAATTCAAAGACTTTAATTAAAAGCAACTCTGGTGTTAATGACTGAATTTTTTTTTTTTTTTTTACAGATAGATAACGAACACTTTGGAAAAATACCGCAGCATGCTGTTTTCTAGAGTTACTCATAGAGATGAGTTAGGTGGCAAATGTGAGGGATCTCGGTTTGCTCTATGCAATTCCTTCTGTAACAGGTCAAGATTATCTAGATTAAAAATAGCTTTAATACAAAAATAATCCCTGTATCTCTCCCTATATCTGAGGAAATTTTTATGAATAACGCATCTTAAAAATAATGAAATTAATGTCCATTTGACTAAGAACTATTTTCAAGCAACAAATATAAAATGTAAGGTTCATTCTTCTAATAATTGAGTATTGTACAGGGCAAGTTACATACTTAACCTGATTTTTTAAAATTCTGCAGTGAGTATGCATGACTTTATGTTTTGGAAAAATGGTATATTAATTTCAACAAAAACCAAAGGTGGTCATGGGTTGATAGATTATGGAGAAAAATATAAATAACCAGAAGACTTGAGTGCTGACTATGATACTTATCAGCTATGAAATACTAAACATTTCATTTAACTTCTGAGATGCTATTCATTAAGAGAGATAGAGAGAGAGAGAGAGAGAGAGAGAGAGAGAGAGAGAGAGAGAGACAGACAGAGACAGAGAGACAGAGACAGAAAGACAGAGAGAATGAAATGGGCACTTGCCAATCCTTTAACCTACTCTGTGGTGTTTTCATTTAGTTTAGGTAATGTCAGCCAGGATCACAAGAAAAATGTGAGTGAGAATTTTGATTAATCAAAGGATTGTATCATATTTAAATTTCTGAAATCTAATTTCCTTTACCCTAAAATGGGCAAGAAAATGTTGAGTCAGACTGCTTTAAAATGATTGGATATCTATCTATAAATTTTATGTTATATACAGTTTGCCTCAAAAATAAAACCTTTTTAATCTAGTAATTTTTTTTCTCTGCTTCTCCTTTGGTTTGTAATCATAATTTCTAACTTGGATAATGAGATTTGGTATTTCCAAAAATAATCTTAAAGGTGTATGGGAAGGGAGTAAATTTGGTAACTTTTGCTTAGGCTGCATCTTTTAATTTTAATTCACATTTCTTAAGTTTAACATCATGTATACAATCAATATTTAAGACAGTCAAAACGATTCTGGTTTTAATTTCTCTTCTAGGTAATAGATTTGGATAAAATTATGGACTGATGTTTTGAAAAATGATTAGAATGAATACCTATAAGTAAAATTGATGGTTTTTTTATCGAAAAGAACTTGCTTACGTACCGAATACAAACATTTTAGATGTTTTAAGGAAAATCTTGTCTTACTTTGTATCATAGTATTCTATTTATGCACTTCCTAGGGTTTTTAAGTTTCAGTTTTCACATAAATATCTTAACTCATCCATAAACCTTAAAATTCAGGCATTCTGAGTGCGTACTTGAACATTCTTTGCTTATGTGCCCTAAGCGACATATTTAAGAACACTTACATTAAGTGCAAAGAGGTACATGACTCAAATGTCAAGAAAAATGAATAAACTGAGGATTTTTATATAACAATGCCATTTATCACTGAAGTAAATCAAGATATAACCATATGCAACAATGTAGATGCCGCTGAGCAGCATCATATATACTTAAAATAATATTTTTGTACAGCTCAAAATGAATGAAACTACCATGAGAAGGTAATCTCAAGGCTCATAATAATGGTAGAGCCGGGGTGAAAATTCATAGAAGTGACATGCTGCACACTTCAAGAAGCACCATTCCCATCAGTTCTAGATGTAAGGATAGATAGCTCCTTAAATTTGTAAAGGTCACACTTCGTACACTCAGTAAGTGCAGACCGTGAGACTAGTAATTTCTGAGAGAGACAGAGAGAGAGAGAGAGAGAGAGAGAGAGAGAGAGAGAGAGAGAGAGAGAGGTGGACGGAGGAAAATTACAGCTGCTTTCTCAAATTGGGTACCTGTGTGTGGCGGTGCAATGTAAATGCCAGCAGTACAGTAGGCTGATGTATCAAAAATTCATTCCTAGGCCGGGCAATCTAGTGACTTAGCAAGACCATGCTTGAAAAATTTGACATATTAAAAATAATTAAAATGGATGATGATTAGCATAGTATGAAGGCCCAGTCTTTAATCCCCACCACCACATTGAAAACTGGTGCTGCTGTAGTTCTTAAATCGGGTAGTAGATTTATGTGTTAATTACATTTAACATGTTAAATTCAATTTCACAAATAATAGACTGCAAGAAATAATTTGAAGATATATTTTAGGGTGGTGGGATAGAAGAAAAGAAAGTTTTAAAATCAAATCTTTTCCATAGATGGGGAATTTATGCATCTATTAATTTATCCCCTGAAAATTACTGTTCTTTTTCTCCTTTGTTTCAATAAAAAGGTATAGTTTTCAATAATATATTGCATTACATGGTTCTATCTACCTGTATCAAATTTTGTGATTATGAAATTTGTTATGATTTCTTGTCAAACACCTGTTAAATGTAGAGTCATCCAAATCCTAATTCAATGAGAAACTGATATAGTACATAGTACCTGTTCTCCATAAATATCTTTTGTGCTGCTTATCTGATTCTTGGGGTAATTGAAAAGTGTTGAAGGATCTTTGACTTTTCCAGGTTGAGAAAAGAATTTTTACTCCTCAAACCTATTTGTGCTTCACATTTCCCCTTATTTTTATCCTGCAGGTAACACATAGAATACGTGATTTTCTACAGAAAAGTAATAGGAAAACAAATAAAAGTTGATCAAGACATTTAGAAATTTAAAAATCAATTCATTTGTAATGGTGAGCTTTATCCAACACAGAAATTGTTTTTGCGTATATACATTCTCAGGTAAAGCTGATCTGACACAGTGTCATACTAATTTGCAAAGAATGTCTGATGGGTGTGTTACCATCACATCCTCAAAAAGCATATGCAAGCTCAACCTTAGAATGCAGATGTTACAAAATTTCATTATGTGTTTAAAACTTTCAATGCTATCATTGGAATATTTATGAAGTCCATGTTACATTTTGAAGCCTCAAAGATAAGCTTAACTACCAGTTACTAATGTAATATATGTTTCTAAGAAAATTACATAAATTTTGGACTTTAAACTTTTTTTGTTTTTTAAACAAAAAAAGCAAAACAGAAAAAAGTGTAGAAATAGTACAGAATTTCAAAAAAATTAATGCTAAGAAATCATCAGTTGACAAATTACATATTGTCATCTTAGAAATAGTTATTCAAGTTACAAAATTAAAGCATAAAACGTGTACATTCAAATAATGAGAGTGCAAATCATTCTGTTGAATAATGCAACAAAAACTTAGTACTATGGTTATCTATCTTACATACTTAAACATACATGCAGTTATATTCTTTGGAGCACTTTCCGTCCCTTTCTTTTTTACAACAGCTATTACACATTTCAGATCCTATTACTCCTACAGCTTTTATTAATTTTTATACTAGAGAGACAATGTGATATTTACAAATATGATTCTTATTTATTTCACTTATGAGGATAGTCTTCAGTTTCCTCCATTTACCCATAAAGGTCTCAAGATCATTCTTTTTATAGCTGAGTAATGTTCCATTGTATAAAAATACCACTTCCCTTTTTATCCACTGTGTGGTTGATGAGCATTTTGGTTGTTTCCAAGATTTAGCTATTACAAATTGTGCTGCTATAAACATAGGAGAACATATATAACTGTGACATGACCTTTAAACATTTGTGATAACTACTTCTGTCTGCCTGTCTGCCTGTTTCTCTCTCTCTCTCTCTCTCTCTCTCTCTCTCTCTCAATCTCTCTCTCTGTATATATATATATATATATATATATATATATATGTAACATTTGAATATCTTGAAAACATATATGATTATATATTCCTGTTTATATATTTCTTGTATCAAAACACATTGCTCGTATAGAAAATGTAACACCTTATTTTTACATCTACAGGAGTATTTAGGGAAATGCTAGCTTTCAGAAAGTTTTTATTGTTAAGTAAGTATAATAAACATTATGACAAAAGTACATATCAAAATTAAATATTGTGTCTTCAGTGACACTTTAAACATGCCATCTGCATTTCCTGTTTTACTGGAAAACAGAAAGCAGTGTATTTACTTTAGGTAAAGGAGTCATTGTGCTATAAATCAATTTAATGGAGCTACCTTGTTTGAGAATAGTATAAACTACAATTCTATGATAGACACATATTCTTAATTTCTTGTAGTATGTGTCTATAATATGTCATATGCCACATGGCACGTTAGGTAGATGAATTTCCTAAAAACAAACAAAAATGCCAAAGGTGTGACTATAGGAAAAAAAGACAGAAAAAACTATCAATTGGTTAATTTAAAACAATAGAAACCATGTATACATTTTGTCCATCTTAACTGAGCCAACTCATAAACCTCATTTAAAATATAATTTGCTCAATTCCTCTAACAAAAAGAGAAAACTAAGAGCAAGTACGGTATAGGAATACTTGTACGTAAGCCACACTGACAGATTATAACATGGTGTCCCATCAGATGACGCGGTGTTTTGACTGCATTTGGTACAGAGGGCTATAATTTAAATGCCATTAAAGACACATAAGCTCTAGCATGGAGACAGGAACGTTGAAATCTTTTGGTCTGTAGTCTCAATGCAGATAAAATTGTTCCTTTGATCTTGCAGTGCCAAAGCCTGCTGTCCAGAAGGGAAATGTCTTTGTGTTTCTCTCTTAAACTAAGACAGATTTAGTTTTCTATCTAAGGCATTGTGTTAACAGCACATAAAAAATAAAACACATTTTATCAAGCAGAGCTTAGTTTTCTTCTATTGTTATTTTTGGTTACATTGCATAGTGCAGAAAACAATGTGTCTGAAATATGCCCTTTGGGGTTTACACTGAGTCAATTCAAGTGTTTCGATATAGACACTTTGTGGCATTTGCACACGGGAAATTAGGAGGATTGTAGCTTTCTTTTCAGTTTTATACATTTGTCTTTTTGAAACAATTTGGAGATATTTTGCTTATAAAACTAAGCAGAACATAAACACATGTTTGACTTGGAAGGAAATGCCATAGCTAAGAGTTTGCAATGAGATATATGCTATACTCTTTGAAAATCATACTGAATACAAATCAAATTTCCAATTTACTGGCATATTAACATTTTTTTTGTTTTAGTTTTTAATTTAAAAGGGTACTGAATTTTTAAGCGGAAGGGCCATTACAAGAGAGTTTCATAGTAGATCCACTATGTCTTATTTGGAAAACCAGACAAAAATAATCAGGCACTGTGATTTGTGTAGTACTGGTGGCTCATTGTGTATAATCCTACTAACTTTATATCACAATATATTATGTTTAGATGAAAATATAAATCCAGAAACTAGTATACTTTAGACATCTCCATATTGGTTATCTTTTGTATGAAAAACAATGAATCATAGTCTTTTTAAAATATAAATACTGTTAGGATTTTTTGCCAAAATTTAACTTACTATTAAAAATATCATTTGTTTATTTATTCATCCTCATTATATGTAAGAATTTCTATTTTTCTTTTCAGATTTGGAGATGATTGAAAGCAATATGTTTAGTGCTCTATAATAATGTTTCCGGTCTGTCAAAATTTATGTTATCAAGCAGGAATATCTTGGTAGTAAACTTTACTAAGTTAAGTTTGGATAGCTTAAAGACACACTGTCTAATTCATAAATTATCTGTTTTTCCTTTTCTTTCCTTTTTGTGTTTTACTGTATCTTGGCAAAACAAAATTCTAAAAGTCAACTTTCTAACTGAGAGGTCTTTGAGTGTGATTTAAAGTGTGAAAAAACAGAATAAAAGCTTAATAAATTGTATTTCTGATACAAATCATGTGCAAAGAAAAAAATTCAAATTCATTGGAAGTTTGTAAAAAATATTCATCAACAAGCAAACCACCAAAATGAAATCTAGAACCTTAGTTGAATTCTTCATCAATCTCAATATGTCAGTACTTGAGGATGGTTTGTATTCAGTTGAAACAGTGGTTTCTTTTGCTTTTCGTTTCAAGAGTTCGGGCTGAAGGAGATGCTTCTGTATGTCTCTGCCTGGTGTTTACTGTTGCCCAGCTATAGCCTGTTGATTATAAATAGAGGTCTTGAGTGGAGCCACCCTGAGAGAAGAGTCTCGGCATGTTCTGAACTCAATGCATATGCTCAAACATGAGAATTCTAATTGTGGAATGACGGACGTGCACATGTTTTCTCTGTAAGTGAATAGTTTGGTAATAAAAAGCATACTCCTGACTTTCTAACTGGAGCCCTCAAAACATCAGTGACATGAAAAAGACCATCATATTAAAGCAATTCTGCTTTATTGATTCTGAAAATAATTTGTCTAAGAATGCCCAGAAATCACTTAAGATTGACAGAGAATAAGCTGATGAAAAGTACATTATAGTTAAGATAAGGAAGGCAACACTGTGAAGGACAAAGAAAACAGCCCCAGAGAATGCTTCACATATTTTGTATGCATTCAAAATGCTTCACAGATTTTAAAATAGCTTTTTAAACATTCGTATCTGCATCTTTCTGGAATCCATAATTGTTAATGATTACTAATATCAGCTCCAGGCATACTATCTAGTGAGATGTTCTGAAGCACTAAAGATGTACAAACCAATCTTTATCTAAATAAATATTTTGATGGTTATTTACGCTCTCAGTGTATAATAGGAAATGAAGATATGAGAAAAATCCACAGTATTTTCTGGGTGTCATAGAAAAGAGCTAAAACTGACAACATTCTTAAGTATAAGAAAAATGAGTCTGATAAAAATATTACACTAACCAGAAGAGTATTAGAATCAGTGAATAAATGGCATACGCATTTTAAATTATTTGAAGTTTGCCAAGAGAGAGACAGAGAAGGAGACACAGAAAGCATATGAAAATATTGGGGCTTAATCATTCTGAATGTAAAATGTAAAGGAAGTAACTAAGCAAAGAGAAATAGTAAATTAAATAAAAAATTAGGACAAATAAAATATTCACATATAAATTTTGCTATATCACAGAGGAAATGTAGGTGAGAAGGAAAATAGAAATAAAAACTAAAATTTGTAACTAAATAAAACTGTATGACATGATATTTTTGCAGAATGATAGTATGATACTACAAATCTCAATCTGTTTTCTGGAGCAAAATATTTTACAATTTTGACTAACATAATTACAGGGCACTTCTAAAATATATTTTATTCTTAATTTGATCAAAAGAAAGCACTAAATTCTTAAAATGAGAATAACTTTAGTCATTTCAAATATAAATTTAACAGTCAACCCATCTGTATTCTTCTCTGATTATTTTTAAAAGAAAAAAGTAGTCTACATAAATAATTCATAAATTTATAAATTTATCAGGTCAAAGTCACAAAAATAGCCTCAGACACTGAGTGAAGTAAAAATACAATTGTGATTGCCCAGAACTTAACAATTCTCTACTTCCTTAGAAGTCTCTTGATTGACAGGTATCTGAAAATTGCTCGGGTGACTGATATGCTCTGGAGCAACTACAAAGCATAATCATTCATCCAATGCTGTATTACTTAAAATAATTGATTTTCTTTCAGAGTACAAATAGGAGCATTTTTTGCAAGGAGGATCATTTGAGGCAAGGAGTTAAAAAATGGAGTTACCAAAAAACAAGAAGAGTACTACGAATATGAGCAAAAGGCCACTTAATTTTCTAATGTACACTACATTTAAAATGGTTATATTGAGACTATGACCACTATATAGAATTATGTATTATTAAGAGATGGCAGTATCCAACAGCCTAAAGGGTTCAAATTGTTACACATTGTGTATTTGTGTGCAGTTCCAAAGTGCTGTTAGTAATCAAATACTGTGTTTTCTGAGCTGCCACCAAACATCAAAACAATTAGGGCTCTTTGGAACCAGTACTTAACTTCCTGCCATGGGATAAGAATCACAGCTGCCACAGTAGCAGTAGGTCTCCAGATGTCAAGGATATCAAGGTAATTGCAGGGAGGAAGGGATACAATTTTGTTATCACAGATTACGCTGCCCATTGAAAACCCTTGATATGGCATTAATGCCAATGCTTGGCTAGATACAGTATGAACTGGAGGTGTTTATGTTAAAATGTGGAGGTTTGCGCATTTGCTTCTGTGGAGAAGGCAAGGCCAAATTCATTAAAATGCGCATGAACCACAGCATTAGTAATCTCAAAGCGAGACTGTTGGGGTGCTAAAGCATCTTCAAGTGTTAAATTGGTGTTGCTTTATAACATGAAACATTCCAAGAGTAAGTTTTAATTTAAGCATTCTAATAATGTAGCTTATCTATTGCATTGAGAAAATATGAAATGTTTGGATACAGATAAATTAAAGAGCACCTCTTCTTAAGACTATTATTGGATACTAGTGACTGAATAGATGAGATAAGGTAATTTCCATTATTCAATCAAAAATAATTTCCCTCTCGACCTCCCTATGATCATATTGAAAACACAAGTTATTAAAAACTCTGTAAGCTTTCATTTAGAAGCTAGAATCAAGAGGGCATAATTCTATATCAGATTTATAAAGAGCATGGCATTTTTTCATACTTCTATATCAAAATTATTATACATTTGCCAACAGATTATTTTGATATTAGTTCAGTTTGACAATTTCTTGTTCTTTTCTAAAGATAGATGCTATTGATTTTACTGTGTACATAATAGTTTAATGTTCTTTGCAAAATATAGAATAGTTGGCACCTTGACCAGGTTTGAAAATGTTGCGAGATTCATCATACCTACCATGAAAAGAGGGATTTCTCATTTTCATGTTACTGTCCTATACTTCTACTAAGAAAACAAGCCTTGCATAATGTTTTTAGGTAGTTACTTAACACTATGGACTCACATTAAGTAACAGTCACTTATGTAGCCACAAATCACTTATGTAATTCTTATGCCAAGGGAGCCCCATTCTTCAGAATTCAGAAGTTAAAAATGGAATATTACACCTCTCTTTTCATATCTGGCACAAAACATCTGATCAAGGGAAACCAAATTCTGGACAGTGGTGCTCAGATTGTCATCCATACCAAAGCCAAATCATTTGTATGCAAAATTCTATGGTACCTCTTTTTCTTTTGAGTCCAAGTTAATTTATTTCACATATTAGATGTCTCCTATAGCTTAGAAACGTCTTAAATTTAATAGAATCTTGGCAAAACTGTAAATGGAAATATTGAATTAGAAGGACCTTGCAGTACATTTAATTAAGAAAACCAGCTAAAAGGTACTTTGGACAGGGCAGAGCCCTGAGAGATAACAATGATTAATTCTTTGGAGCAGGTAGGATACAGGCAATTTAAAAAAGTAAGAACGAAGTATTAATAAAGTCTTTGTTAGTCTAGGAAATGTTGCTTTGTAACACTCATTGAAAAAATAAAGCTAACTTAAATCTCTGTTGGGGGTTATATTTTGTTTTTCTTTTAAGGTTTCTTAAATTTCAATGCATATAAGGAATCTTTCAATAAAAGCAGTCCTTCTACGAAGTTGTTATTTCTAATTGCCAATTACAAATGAGTAAACAAAAATTCACATAATTTATTTACTTATTTATTTATGTACACTTTTGCTATTGTTAATACACAAAAAGGCTGAGGCAGAAGGATCTCAAGGCTGGGCAATTTAGTGACTTAGGCCATGTCTCAAAACAAAAACAAAACAAAATAAAACAAGCAAACAAAAAGAATGGGGATGCAGCTCACTGTGAAGGCCCTGGGTTCAGTCCCAAGAATCATCAAAAATAATGTTATCAAGTCAAGCTAAGAAACTGTCTTTGGTTTTGGATCACCTGAGAACTAGTCTCAGTTCTTGTCTTCTGAATCAGAAACTCTGGGCATGAAGCCCAGCAATCTGTGTTTTAACAACCCTCCAAGTATTTCTGATGCAGCTACACTTTAGGAAACATTGACCTAGAAAATGTATGATAGTTGAAAGTACTGGTTTCAGTAACTAAGTGGCAAGAAATAGCTTCATGGTACATCATTAAATGAAATTGTTCTTTCTTCACAGTGTGAATAGACAGATTCAGTATACAAAGTGGTTTTTCACATTTTAAATGCATTAGCAATGATAAATCCTTATATCACAAATTCTGTTTTATTGTATGTTATACTAATTACTGCCAGGCAAATCTTTCTCTGTAATTAGAAAATTGGGCATATGAAGCAAAACATCATTATCCTAAATTTTTCATAAAGAAAAACCTTGCAATTGAATGTCATTTTATGATATATTTACTAAAATTTTGAACTATAAAAGCTTCCAAGTTTTAGTTCTAAATCTTTACACTACAGATTCATGGTAATATGTTCAGTTATACTAGAATTAATGGATAAGAGGAATTGAACATATATATTCTTAGGGTCTTTCAAAAACAAGCTTGTTATCTCATTCCTGGATCAAGAGAATTTATTAAGACTTCAAATCTTAAAATGTATAATAAAATGAAACAGAATATTTAATTTTTGATTTGTTTCATGTCAATATATTTCAACCAACACACACACACACACACACACACAAACACACACAAACACACACAGAGGTATATCAAGTTAATACTTTCCCCACTATCTTATTGCTAATTTTAAAATATTGGTAGTGTACAAATATCAGTTCATTTTACTGATAAATGATAATCTCCCAAGTTCTCTTCAAGATTTTTCTTTTAATTTCAATATTTATGTGCCATTCAAGAGAGCTGTGACTTAACACATGGGCAAAGTCAAACAAAAGTCACTCTTCTGCAAAAATCAGTTCTATGTGAAATTAATAGGATATTAATAAGAGGATATTATTTTAATTTCTGTAGCAAAATAATTCCTATGAAAAAATACTTCTATATTTAAGTATAATATATAGAAACATATATTAGGATATATAATATGATATTTCATGTCCAATCAAAAGCAAATAGTTTCTTGATATACCTGCTTCAAATTATAAATTTTCAAATAAAGACACACATTCCACATCTCTTAGAATGGTTGTTATTCAGTAAATAATTCAAAAATAAATATGCCATTTAAAGTATAGTTTTATAGATCCTGTAAAATAGTTTTTATATTCTGAAGAAGCATTTGCATGATAGAGCTGTTTTCCACTTAGTACATAAATTCACATTCCTACTAAAATTACTTCAAGAAGCCAACATAACACATTTTACATAGAGATAAAAGAAGATACTAAAAAATGTCTGGACAGCTGGTTCTCAAATGGGGAATTTTGCATTCTAGAAGGCATTTGACATTGTCTGAGCATCAACATGGTAAGGTTATGGCACCTGGTACGTAGAGGCCAAAGATGGTGGTAAAACCCTTCATGCATAGAAAATCTTACTCAAAATTTACAAGAATGCCGCTGTTGAGAAAACCTGGCCAGAGGAAAATAAAATTCATTGGCCATGGATGCTACAGTTTCTGTGTTATCCATGTGAGAAATTTAAGCCCTCAGTCATAGCTGTGTAGTATTTTTCTACACTCAAAATCTCTACTTTGCAGTTCTGAAGCCTGCAAAGTTTTTCTTTTCTGTGTTGAAAGAAGCACTAATTATTGTAGACCAGAATCAAATCTGCATTTATACACCACCATCTTTGCAATGGAATTTTGAGTTACGTGGCATACTGCCTTGTGTGAATGTTCAGCTTTGTTAATCAACTTCTTTTCTGAAAACAAGTAATTACATGTTGTTTACTTGAAATAAGACTGCATTTTATAAAGAGTAGTCACTTCACTCTATAACTGCTCCTCCTAATAAGACTTTTACTTACATTTTATTTCTTTCTACATTTTTTTAATGACTGAGAATTAATGGACAAGATATTAAAGCACACCCCATATCCAAACAAAATGAATTTTTATCAATATATATCATGCAATAAGCCTTTTAAAAACTCCTAGACTAGCTCTTGAAAATAGTTTCTATATATGATACAATGGCTTTTACTGAACAAAAAAATCCCAGTTTTTAGGCTTTCCTAACTAAAGATGTCTTCAAAAATGTAGTATAATTTTTCAACATAAAGTTAACAACAATGTCACCTGGCATTTATAATTAATTTTGCAATTTAAAAATAACAGGTTGGAAATAATAATTTTTGTACAATACTACTTGAGTTTTCATTGAGTTAGATCCCTTAACGGTACTTGTAGATTATAGTCAGACAGGTGATTCACAGCTATGCTTCCTGCCCTTGAAACTTCTAGGAGTACAAATTTTATATGTAACATAATTATTTCTGCAACATTTAATCATGCATACTTTTACTAAAAATACAGATACCATCATACAGCTTGAAACTCCAGTATAAAGCAAGAATCTCTTCATGTAACATTAAGAACACAAATATCAAACCCAACTGATAAACATTAGACTACAGAATCATCAAGAGGGTAGGAGATACCAAGTTTGTCTTCATTTGTATTAATTGTCCTTTACTCATCTGTCTAAAGGAATCCAAACTCATGATTATATTCTGGTACTTAGGGTTTTTATATTATTTAACTTAAAACAATCATGGAGATAAGGTATGTCAATATATTTAACTAAACTAAAATCCCTGAAACACAAATAAAATGCTATAAGCTGGCTCAAACTTCTCATTTTATTTTTTGAAAGTTATAATGCTTTTCTTTAATTTATTTGTGACCTCAGTGTTTTGAGACATTTGTCCTAAGTAAGTAGGAAGGAGCATTTGATTGAGGAACCTGAGACCCATGCATTAAAATTTCATCAAAATGTTCATATCTAACTAAAGAAATGGCCATTTTTAAATACTTAAAACACACTTAGAACTAAAAAGAGTTGATTTTTAAAATACATCATAAGATGTACATTGCTAACTATAAAACAATGCAACAAGGTTTTGGAGGAAAGCTATCCAATTTTTCTAATTTATAAAAATATTCATTTTCAGTAGCATCACATATATTTGTGTGTGGTGCTTTAGATATTAATCTAAGTCAATATTTCTTTTTAAAAATCATTTAATTTTCCTAGAAAAATTAGAAAGATGCTTACAAGTACATTTAAATGTTTAAAAACTTTAATTGATATAAGTACTTATTGCTGCTTTTAATAACTTGGACTTAAAATAATTATGTCTATCATATCTTCAAGAACAAACTATATTTTCCATAGAATTAGCTAATTTACTTAAATGAAAGGTTATAGCTGATCACATGGAATAAATAGCTACATATTCCAGCCAGTTTTTATGTAAATTCTGGCAATTTTTATGGGAATACTCAGAAACAGAAAATAAGGTATTATATATATATATTTTTTTTTTTTTTAAAAGTGCAATACTAACAATAAGCAAAGAAGCTTTGAATTTCTGCTAGAACTTATGAAATAACTTACCTTCATTTTTCCTGGGGAAATCTCTTTGTTCTGGTTAAAAATATAGGACTGTGAGTAATAAATAATTAGAATCAAATTAAGACAGGTGAGACTTGCATGTGGATACAAAATACAATATTCATTTATGTACATAATTTGAAGTATGCCATGCATATACAGAAGTCAGATAATGTATTTACAATTTAAGTTTTATTATAAATAGTATTCTCAGGCAGTTTAATACATATTATTGCCTATTTTGGATAGTAAATATAGATAAACTTAGATTTCTCCTCAAAAGTTTTGCAAGCATGTTTCTGAGAAAACATTTTATTTTTATAAATAATTGCAAAACCATAATTAAGCTAATGTAAGTGAAATGACTTTACGATAAATTGCTTGCTGGATTTCATCATCTTCATGTGACTATGAGAATTTGATGTTTCTATCAGCTCTAAAATTCTGTTAATTCCAATTAAATGAAAAGGAAGAGGTTAAATCATGAGTTGATTCTCTCACACTCATAGTGAATATGTAAATTATGTAATAGTAACATTCTACTACTATTAAAATTCACATTTCAGATTAATCAATTTACAAATGTAGTTGTGTGACAGCAACATGGTCTTCTTTCAAAACATGTCACTTGTTTCCAGGGGTGCTAAGCATATATCAGTAGTTAAAGGCATGGAGCTATTATTTGTCTGTTTGCTTGTTTTAAAGGTAAGGGAATGAAAGGGAGGAAAATAAAATATGAAACTGTTAAAGATGGATAGTATTGTAGGGACACACATATAAGGTGAGAAGAATACACCTGAAAAAGGGTCTAAAATGTGACCACTCTGCCCTGTCCTCCAAACTGGGGGCCTGACTGACTGCTGCAGGCTGAGGAGTGGCCTCTTCCAGACTCCGAACTCAAGTTCCTGTATCTTTAATTGCCTGACAGCTGGTGTAGTTACCACCACAGAGACAGAAATTATAGCTTTCAACCTTTCATTTTATTCCTCTTACCTATAATCCACTAGTTCCAGTCTGTCTGACCACTTGGGAAAGTTTTTGTTGTCGTTTGTTTTGTTCTTCTTTCTTTCTTTCTTTCTTTCCTTTTTTTTTTTATTAGTGCAGCTTCAGGGAAACACTCAATGTATATTACACAGAGAGCTGTAACAGTAGACAGTCCTGGAAACTCTTGATGAGAAAGGAAAAAAAAAAGATCTTGCTGGAGCACTGGGAACATAAAATGGCACACAGGGCACACAATAATGATTCTCATAATTGAGATTGTCATGTGTCTTATTAAAAACCATCATTTACCTGGAGGCCTTTCTTGAAAAAAATGCTAAGATGCTTTACAGATGTTACATAAGGATGTTTCTCAAAGCCTTAGTGATCTATTTTCATATCTATGTTGTTTGGTTAGGTCCTTCAAAAGGATTCAAGATTTACTTTTATATTTAAGAAGAGTGAAGATGAAAAGTTATTATTTGAATACAACATTGCATTCAGTGGCACCAAGATGCTTATTATAACTGCCCTGATGAGACAGTAGACGCGTCTCAGGGATGCCATTCTCCTCTAATGTGTATTTAGGTGCTCTGTCTGGTGGTTCGCCTAAGTGATGTGGCATAGATTTGATGAAAGGACAGTGAACAGCATCAATTATAAAAGACATCTGCTAATGAGGGGAAGAAAAAGAAGAGAGAGGAGAAAGAGAGAGAGGCTAAGGAAAAAAAGACAAGAAATTCTCTGACACAGAAAGAACAAAGCATTTCAACTGAACTCAAAGAAATGACGTACCTTAATCACATCCTAATTTTAGGGTACAACTGAGTTCTCTGCTCTTCTTTGGAGACATCCATGTTTCTTTAGTTTCTGTGGAGCTGTGACTCAAATTGCCTTCAATTTTCTTCATGAATTTGTTGGTCATTTTGTCAAGATCCCTATGCAAAACAGAGAAACATATTATGGGAAACTCGGGCCACAAGAAGAAAATGAACTAAAATTGATTTTTAACTTTTCATAGGAATGTTTACCAGGCCAGCAATCCAAGTGATACATTAATTTTTGGCATCTTAGATCTTTCCTTTATTAAGTCCCAGAAAGTATTGTTCAAGGTTTTTCCTGTATAAGTAAGAATAGCCAAATAATATCCAGGGGTCTCTGAAAAGAGTTACTAAGAATTTTGGCTACCTAAAGCATACTAATTATAAGCATTATTTTTTTCTGTATGTATTTTCCATAAGTAAAGTCACTTTTAATGTGTTAAGTAATGTTAGCTCAATTATTAATAAAATCAAATTTTATTCTTATACATTTTAAGTGTATTAGTTTTTCATTTATCTTCTAATTTCCCCAAAGAGACTAACTCTGTACTAATACAGTATCAGATTTATACCATTTTCTAGCTTATGCTAATAATTGAGTTTTCAAATAAGAAAATATTGAATGTGATTAAGCAATGTGTGTTTTTTCCTTTAGGTTAAAAGAAGACAAGGAAGTGGGTTTCTTTTCAGTATTCAATTAGAAAATCCCATTTTTTTTTAAAGAGGAAGAAGTCAAATGAAAACAAACCATAAGAAACTTTGGTTAGAGTTTGTAAGTTTGTTGATTTTCTTAAGTTAATCATTATTCATTTCTATTATTTTCATTGGTGTTTTCTTAGGGCAATATATTTTCTTCCCATGATACTCAGCATAAGAACCATAACTAAAAAGCCCTCCAAGACCCTGTTGGCTGAAACTGCAAGGACCGTGTAATAAACAACTCCCCAAATCTGCACTGCCATCCTGGTCTTTTGAGGGTGCAGAGCTTGGCAAGTGGGGAGGGCACGATGGTAGCTGCATTTTCTGCTTGGAGTTTTAAGTTCTCTGTTCACTCTGTCTCATTCTGATGTTGTATGCCCATCCATTTAGAAGTTAAATGACTAACAAGAGAAGATTATAGTTAATAGGCACAAATAAATATAACAGATATTCTTTTCAAAATTTTAAATCAATGCTCCCTTTGAAGACTGATGATGCCTTTGAACAAGAACATTTCCTGCAACTGACAAAACTCTTCATATTATGGATATGGACCTGAGGTTGACAGACTCACTAAGATTACAGTGTGCCTGAGTAGTTAAAAAGTCATGCTTAAAAGCTACCAAATGGGTATTCTCTTTTGATAAACAAATGGATGAACATGAGGATTGAGAGGATGGAGAATTTTTTAGTATTATGTATAAAATATAAATTTTGTTAATTAACATCATAAAGATCATCTGTAAGTGCTATGTAATAGTTTTCTCAGATGAGAATAGCTAGAATGTAGAATGTAGCCTAACAACAATATTATTCTGTAAATTGAGTTTGTATAAGACATTTTAATAGTACTAGTGGTCACCTAATATTCTCACTAGCTTCCAAGATCTGTCACTGAACTATGAAGCAGTTTGTTAGTCTTTCTCCTCTCCCTTTCTCTCTCTCTCTCTCTCTCTCTCTCTCTCTCTCTCTCTCTCTCTCTCTGTCTCTCTCTCTCTCTCTCTCTCTCTCTCTCTCTTTCTCTCTCTGTCTCTTTCTGATGGTCTTATTGGCTAAATAAGTTTAAAAATTTCAGGATCTTGAAGGGGGGCAGGAAAGTACAAAATGTGTTTTTGATTTTTTTTAGTGTGCTATAAAAACTGTTTAAAACTTAAAATATCCCCAGTGTAGTGTCTTGGTCTATTACCCCTGACATCTACTGTTAATTATATTTTAACCTGTTAGTGGTCTAACACTTTCTACATCACAATAAGCCACATATTCTATGAGTGCTGAGTGCCTCGCTAAGAGACTGCTGTGGAATCGAAGGGTGTGCAGGCAGGCCGGAAGAGCAAGTCCTCCTTAGAGGATGGTCTTTGTCTCCCACTGGAACCTCTACACCTACACACCGCTTGGCATAACGTGGGGGAGGGGCGGCGACCAGACAGCCCTCACTGTTAGATGCCAGAAAGGACGGTGGAAGCCAAGGCCCTGGGCACACAAGCTGAAACTTGCATGCTTGGCAAAGCTCAGATGCCAAGGTTTACATCTCTAATAACACACTCCCTGCCTCCTTGGTAATGATACCCTGGGGCTGCTGGGAGGAGAGTCTTTTTATAGGAAGCATACTCATAAGGATTTAATATTATCTTTCTGAACCCTTTGATTCAATAGGGTTTTAAAAAAATTTCCCCTCTTATTTTGTAGACCCTATAATGTGAACCGGCGTAATTCTTTATGCAACAGTAGTATGTAATCAGCATCTTTCTACTGAGCTTGAGGTCCTTTTTCCTTTCTAACCATGTGCCTAAAAAAATAAAATATCTTGCCACCGAATGTCTTTTTTAAAGACTGAAAAGACTTAGGTTAAACAACATTTGTTAGGCTTTGATGCAATCAAATGCAATTTCAATCTTCTTGAAACATTCAGCCTTGCCTCTCTTGAAATTGCACATATGTGTCAGCTTTCAATTTTTCTCACTAGTATTTTACACATGAAATCTATTTTCACTGAGAAAAAGGAATCTTTGTGTCTTTGTCTCTAGGCGTGCAGCTTTCAGGCATATTCTGGCAGGGGCTTTGACTGTCGAGGTACTGGGGGAGGGGCCTGGCAGTCATCTGTCAGATCCCTTGCATCTGTAATTTCTGGCCACTCAGCAGTATTAGAGGGTCTCAGAATGGGGACAGGCGGGTGGGGGAACGAGCTTGTCATTGATGGAAGCCAAGCTCAGAGCCCGATATTAATAATCAAAAAAGAAAAAGGAGAGTCTGAAAAACTTTTATTGTGCTTTAATGAAAACGATTTTTTGGAAATGGCTAATTGACAAAATTGCTCATGATAACATTTTCAGATCTCAGTTTAGAAAGCCCCTGTCCATATTGTGTTACCGATTTCATTGCTTTTAGCTTGGCAAAGGCTCACAAAAGTATTTTAATTTTCCACTAGTGGCTTCTGGTTATTTCTGCTCTTATTTCCTCATAACAGAACTGACAGCCCAATTAAACATCTGCATTTTTTTAATCTGGGTTTTCCTACATAACTGTTTTGCTTTTCTTCTAAAACTTCCAGATGTTTTGGCTTCTTTATGATTTTAATACATGCAAGTATATTTGTTACTATTTCAGAGAGAGAGAGAGGACAGAGAGAGAGCTAGATGAACTGACCAGATGTTTCAAAATGAAAAGCCCTCTAATACACTAATAACATAATCAGGTCAGTATTTTTTGTTTTGTTATGGACATATTTACATTATAATACGTCTTATTGTCTTTTTGCAGCTTACTTTTATGAGTTGGCTTTTGCAACTTATTTTAGTGTGCTATAATAGTTCAGAATTTGCACTGGGGTTTGTTCATTACTGTCAGCAAAAAAAAAAAAAAAAAAAAAAAAAAAAAAAAAAAAAAGAAAGAAAGAAAAAAGAAACACCAAAGTATCCAACTTTGTTATCTCAGTGTCCAGTAACCAGTTAGAAGCTGCTGCAATTTGTTGCTTTCATTACTTCTGTCTTTTTTTTATGTGAGAGATAAGAAGTTATAAGCTATGTGAAGAAACAATGTAGTTTAGCTTAGCTTCCATCTTTGGAAAAACATAAAAGAATCATCCACATCTTGCCTTGAAGTGTCTGGACAAGACTTGAAAGACTCCTTTATATATTTCAAGAAAACCAGTTTCTCATAATTAATAACAAGAAAGTGAGTAAACAGCCTTTTGCTGACAAATGAAATGAAAGCTCTGACATATACACAGATACACAGGAGCAGATACACAGATGGTGAAACCAGGACAATGATTCCTTTCACGTGCACTTATCCAAGACATACTCATACGAAACTACATGGTAAATGATTATTAATTTTACATTTTTTAATTTTTTCAACCATGTGCTTATAGAGTACAATCATTTCTCCAAATGCTTAATATTTACAAGTGATGTCTGGGTATTTGTATGTTTAACGTGTAAGTAGGAAATTACTCCCTGGAATTCAGATTTTCTAGACTAGTATACATGAAAGAAGAGAATATTTTTTAAATGTTATTATGAGATTTGAAAGTATACCCTTGGTGCATATTTTTGATTATACCTGACAGGACAGTTTTGGTATAAAATTTTTTGGTGCAGTGTAGGAGAGATTGAAAGATAGCATACATTCATTCATGGATTCTCAGGCAAACTAAATGTGATAATCATGAATTAAATCACTGGGCAACACGACCCACTTGTGCTTAAAGCTCTGACAAAGTTTCCTCCTAGAAGTAACGTGCTTATATCTTCTCATTTCGTCATAAAGTGCAGATGGTCTGACCTCAGTAATGATCTGGAAAACCATAAAGGGATACGTGGTACCAGTGTATCTTAGAAACTTTAGATTAGAAATTTTTAGATTTTTAAAAACTGAATTACTTACTTAAATTACAGTTAATTGTTTTAAATAAAGTGCCTGATCTTTAAGTGACTTTTTAATAAAGGACATGTTAGTCATCCAAGAATTGTGAAATATTAAACTAAAGAATCAAACAAGACTTAAAAGATTCCTTTATATATTTCTGACCTTATAGGATGGATAGAGTATTGAATGGTTGAAACCAAAGAAAGGTTTTTATTTTATGATGTACTATATTTTAAATTAAAGAATGTATTTTGAATAGATAGATATTTAAACTATGTAACATAGCTAGCATTATGTGCCTTTCTTGTAGGTTCTTAGTAAATCATAACACCAGAAAGGTGAGTATAGTGTGTTAGTGTGGCAGTTTTTGACCATGTGCAACATATATTTGTACTACTGACATAGAAATTGGAAATGAAAAATTATTTTTAGGCAATATTTTAGTGGCCATAATTCGAAGGCAAGGGGATTTTATTCAGAACTCACTAAGTCCAATTACAAATAAATCTCAATTATTTACTATTTTATATACACATGAATGAAGAGAACAA